TCGACTTTTGCTGATCCTACATTCCTGCCAATTTAATGGAAAATTATTCCCCAAGCCCAAATACCACAGAAAAGTTTATTATGTATTTTGAACTAAATATGTCTCTGTAAGATTCAGCAAATAACCTTGGTGAAGTGGGAAGGACAGGCGATCTGGGGCCTATGGATTTCATGTGTTTTCTCATTTTTTCCGTTTACCAACTTTCATCAAATCTAGAAGTGCCATGAGAGACTAAGCCTGTTATTTTATACACCATTAAGAAAGAAGAAAATACTTTCAATTATAATTGTAGAATGCATTCCAACTTCAGAGATTTTTAAATTTGAACTATTGCAGGCAATAAATACAGTAATGTTTAAATTGTGAAGTGAAAGTAAGAGGAGGAAAAAATAGCTGAAGTCTTATCCATCTAAAGAAAACCATTGTTATTAACATTGGGATATTTTTCAATACTGTTCTATGACATTTTTACAATTACAGACCTTATATTAGTACATTTAATAGACTTATATATTAATAGACTTATATCACATTTCTAAATATTTGCCAAACTACCTTCCAGAAAGGCTTCAATTCATTAATACATCTTTAAATACATAAAATCCATATTGAACAAAACAGGGTGTTTCCTAGTGAAGTCAGTATAAACTGTCACAAACTGAATAAGCAATTATGCTCATATTGCTTTTATCTTTCTTAATTCTAGGGTACCCCACCTGCCCTGTTACAAGTGAATTTGGTACTTTTTTTTTTAAGATTTTATTTATTTATTTTTTTATTTATTTATGATAGTCACACACACAGAGAGAGAGAGAGAGGCAGAGACACAGGCAGAGGGAGAAGCAGGCTCCATGCACCAGGAGCCCAATGTGGGATTCGATCCCGGGTCTCCAGGATCGCGCCCTGGGCCAAAGGCAGGCGCTAAACTGCTGCGCCACCCAGGGATCCCGATTTTAATTATTTTAGAGAGAGATAGAAACAGAGCATGGGCGGGGGGGGGGGGGGTGTTGGAGGGGCAGAGAATCTCAAGCAGGCTCGACACTGAACTCGGAGCCTGATCTTACCACCCTGAGATCCTGACCTGAGTCGAAATCAAGGAGAGTAGGACACTTAACAGAATGAGCCACTCAGGCCCCCATGAATTTGGTATTTATTCAAGGTTTCTTTCCAATTGTCCCAGACCCAGAGGCTTACTCATGGGCCAGCAAACAAATCCAGGGAGATTATGAAGTAGTTCTGGGCACTCTGTTTCTGATTGTGGTTCTCATAGCCTCACAGATTACTCTAGAAGACTAAGCTTGCAGTGTCTGGCTACTGTACAGATCTGTGATGTTCCTCGGGGCACAGATCCTTGTACTGGTTTTAAGGAGAGGAGTAGTGCTCTCTTTGATTCACTGATGAACTCTTACTCTGGCTTCAGCCCCTGGGGCAACCAGCTGCCTCAGGAGCAGCAGGCAAGGACTTGTTCTACAGTCCATTGCTCGAAGCACACAGACCCTTTGTTGCTTTCTCTCCTTGGAGCTATGGGGAGTCCCTTGTGCATCTGGCACATCTTAAAAACCTCTCAACCAGGCAGCCCGGGTGGCTCAGCGGTTTAGTGCCTGCCTTTGGCCTAGGGCATGGTTCTGGAGTCCCGAGTCCAGGGATCAAGTCCCGCGTCAGGCTTCCTGCGTGGAGCCTGCTTCTCCCTCTGCCTGTGTCTCTGCCTCTCTCTCTCTCCCTCTCTTTCATGAATAAAAAATAAAATCTTAAAAAAAAAAAAACTTCTCAACCACAAAAGGACATGACTATGCCTAATATATTCTAAGCCCAGACAAAGGAGCAATTGCTCATCCAAGGAAGACTGCAAGTGAACTCATGGGACCCCACACCTTATTATGGAGAAAAGAGGGGGTTACCTTAGTCATTCAAAGGCAGTTTTTTCAAGCTTCTCATTTACATGAGAAGGGAGGGGGGAAACCCCTCAGAAATACAATCTCCAGTATATTATATATATATATATAATATATCTAGAATATATATCCAGAAATATAGTACATCCAGTACAAGTGGCTGAGGAGTAGTTATATTTGGTTTCCTATGGCTGCCACCACAAATACTAGAGACTAGGTGGCTTAAACAACAGAAACTTACTATCTCACAGTTCCAGGTTGAAAGTCCAAGATCAAGGTGTTGGCAGGTTTGATTTCTTAAGGCCTCTCTCCTTGGCTTGCAGATGCCTCTCCTCTGTGCAGGCACATCCCTGGTATTTCTTTGTGTGTCCAAATTTCCTCTTCTTACAAAGGACACAGGTCAGATTGGATCACAGTTCACCCTTACAGTCTCATTTTAACTAAATAACCTCTCTAAAGGCCCTGTATCCACAGACAATCACATCTGAGGTAGTGAGTTTGGGACTATACTATATAGTTATATCAGCTCATAACAGTAGCTGAAATATGGTAGGATTTTAATAATTATCCTAGTTGATTGGATGACGGTTACCTTCACCAAAAGCAGGTATTTGAGGTACAGATTGATGCAGATTGATGTATTATTGACGTTAAAGGCAATCCACAAGAGGATCTATTTTCCTTGTCAACATTTTACCCATAGAACCTTGCAAGATTGCAAAAGCCAATGAAACAGGAGTGTAAGTATCTACTTGGCTCCAAAACTGATTCTGAATCTGCATCCCACTCCTTAGCCCCTAATAAGTTTGTATTTTCTGTGAAACTAGTAGCTTTAGCAACTATGTACTACAATAGTAAGCACAAAGAATCACTCCATGGGGCATAATTCAGAGTACTGCCCTCCAGAAATTCAGTCTAATGAAAGAACAGAAGAGCCTATATACTCCAATCCCAGTTTTATGGCCAAATGCTATTAGATCTTGGAAGAAGAAGCTAGTTTTGCCTGGGTTTAGGGGAGAAATGGTATTTGAGCCTTGAAGATGTAGAATTTTCTGATGTAAAGAGCAAGTAGAACAGGAGGGCTTGTTCAAAATACAGTAGCACTGTAATCATACAGTAAAAAGCAGGAAACATTTACTATCATTAATAACTAATAGAACTAATCATATTTTCATACTCAAAGTATTACTCAGTTAAAATTACTGAGCCAGAATTATGAGTATTAACTTGGATAAATATTTTAAAAAACAAAGCTGAGCCAAGAAAGGCAACTCACAAATGAATACAAATAGTATGCAACAGAATGGGAAGCTTTGTATACAAGTGATCTCTTGTGTAGTTGGAGTTCCCTTGCTTGGGTCTACATCCTGGCACCGCCACTTGCAAGCTATGTGATCCTGGGCAAATTGTGCCACTTTTCAGTCTTCTTGTACATTGAGGAACCTAATAGGACTTATACACAGGGATATTGTGAGGAGTAAGGGAAATAATACAAGTAAAATACTTAGAACAATGTCTGCCATTCAGTAAATGTTAGCTACTGGTGCACTGGTGTAAAGTTTTATTTTTTTTAAGTTTTTTTTTAAAGATTTTATTTATTTATTCATGAGAGACACAGAGAGAGAGAGAGAGAGAGAAAGACAGGCAGAGGGAGAAGAAGGCTCCATGCAGGGAGCCGGACGTGGGACTTAATCCCAAGTCTCCAGGATCACGCCCCAGGCTGAAGGCGGCGCCAAACTGCTGAGCCACTGGGGCTGCCCTAAATTTTATTTTTAAAAAAGATTTTATTTATTCATGATGATCAAGGAGACCTTGGTTCTTTTCTCATAGAGTCGAAGAATGAATCTCGAGGACACAGGAGAGTTAGTAAAGGGATAGAAGTTTATTAAGTAAAGATACAGAGAAAACTCTAAGGAGTGGGAGGGGTCCCAAGAAGGATGCCACTGAGGGCTTTCGTCTTTAATTGAGAGTCTAATCAGGGAACCTAAATCCTTTTAACATAGGCAGAGGGAGAATCAGGTTCCCTGTGGGGAGCCCGATGCAGGGCTTTATCCTAGGAGTCTGGGATCATGACCCCACCCAAAGGCAGACAACCAACCCTGAGCCACCCAGGCATCCCTGGTGTAGAGTTTTAAAAGAAAGAGTATGGGACGCCTGGGTGGCTCAGCGGTTGAGGGCCTGCTTTTGGCTCAGGGCGTGATCCCAGAGTCCTGGGATCAAGTTCTACGTTGGGCTCCCTGCATGGAGCCTGCTTCTCCCTCTGCCTGTGTCTCTGCTTCTCTCTCTCTCTCTGTCTCTCATGAATAAATAAAATCTTTTTTAAAAAGGATTTTAATCATTTATTTGACAGAGAAAGAGACCACAAGCAGGAGGAGGAGCAGATGGAGACCAAGAAGCAGGCTCCCCCACCGAGCAGGGAGCCCCACGTGGGGCTCGATCCCAGGACCCTGAGATCAAAACCTGAGCTGAAGGCAGAGGCTTAACTGACAGCCCCCCAGGGGCCTCCTCCAAATCTATTTTAAAGCAACCTACTGTCTCCACCCTCCAAAATACTGCACTATTCTATTGCAATGGGTTTATCACTCTAGGCTGTTTTAGGATTATTTTACTCGGTCATTGCCTGTCTCCTTCTACTAGAATGCTCTGTCTTGCTCAACACTGTATTCCACAGTCTTTGCAAATCTTCAGGGTTTGTGTGTGAATGAATGAATGAATGAATGAATGAATGAATGGAGACCCTTCCTCCATACTCAGGGCCCCTCTTTGTAGCCGGTCTGGAGAGCAGAAGTATTAGGAGAAAAGCGTGGGGAGGGGAGGAAGATTGGAGTAGGTGGAGGACGGAGTTTAAGAAGACCCGGATTAGAGGAAGTGAGGGAAATTGGCGGAGGCCTGGGAGTTTTCTGAGGGCGAGGAGCCCCGGGGCTGAAGGTGAGCTGGAGAGCTGGAAGCCGAGGTGAGCCGGGGGCGGGGCCTCCAGGGCGGGGCGGGGCCTCCAGGGCGGGGCGGGGCCTCCAGGGCGGGGCGGGGCCTGGGAGAGGCGGGGCCTTGCGTGGGGTGGGCGTGCCCGGGGCAGGGGCGGGGCCTGCGAGCGGGCTGTCGGGAGCGGCGCGCTGGGGCGGCGGCGGAGGAAGATGGCTGCGGCTGAGGCGGTGGACACTCAGCTGATGCTCGGAGTCGGGCTGATCGGTGAGGACGAAGGCGCCGCGCCCCGCAGGCCCGCGCTTCAGTTCCGCCTCCGCCTCCGCCTCCGCCTGGGCCCGGGTGGTCCGCCCCGGCGGCCCCTTCCCGGCGCGGCGCCCTCCCTACCGGGCCTGGGCGGGGGGCTGCGGGGCCGGGCCGTCCGCCCCGGGCCTGCCCGCCTGCGGCCTCGCGTGGGACCCGCCCGGGCCAGGCAGCGGGGCGGGGGGACGTCGAGGGTGGCCGAGCTCCGGCGGCTGCAGGGGCGCGGGGGCTGGGCCGGGAGCCGGTGGCGGGCCGCGCGGCTGGGAGGCGGCGGGGACGACGGCGGAACGCGGGGGACGTGCGCGCGCCTGGCCCCGATTCTGTGCTTGAGCGGCTCGAGGCTCGGTGCCGACTGTGCCAGCCCGGGGGCTGAGCGTTATAGGCACGAGTTATCTCCTGTTAAACTTCTACCACAGCTCCGGGGGCGGGGGCGGGGGGTGCGTAATGTCTGATGGGCACATTTCGGAGAAGCAGATGGAGGCCCCGGCCCCGGGTGGCATTGGTCCGGGAGGCACGCTGAGAAGCGGTGGAGCCAGGTGGGGCTCCGTGCAGTATGGTGGGATCCTGAGTGATGAGGAATTAGTGGTTGACGAAGTACGTTGGGAGCTTTGGGTGTCCCTGTGCCGTGTGCAGTGCTTCAGGGTGAGGTGTTTCCAGGAACCATTCATCCTGTAGGTGGCAGCTAGCCCCCCCGCGCCCCCGGGTTCCCTGCCTGCCGTCGTCCTTTGAAATAACATCCTATTGAGATTTTTTTAAAAGATTTTATTTATTTATTCATGACACAGAGAGAGAGAGAGAGGCAGAGACACAGGCAGAGGGAGGAGCAGGCTCCATGCAGGGATCCAGGGACTCCAGGATCACACCCTGGCGGAAGGCGGGCGCTTAAACCACGGAGCCACCCAGCCTGCCCCCCATTGAGATTTTTTACAAACATTCTCCTTCCTCTAGAAGAAGGTTGCTTGCGTTTAGCAAAACTGGCTATATTTTTTGATGTCTCAAAGGAATGCATTTATCTGGGAATGGCTTCCTGTATTTATTTTCTGATGTGATTTTTATCTTTTACTTTTTTAAGATTTTATTTATTTATGAGAGACACACAGAGAGGCAGAGACACAGGCAAGAGGGAGAAGCAGGCTCCCTGCGGGGAGCCCGATGTGGGACTCAATCCCAGGACCCTGGGATCTCACCCTGAGCCAAAGGCAGGTGCTCAACCGCTGAGCCATCTAGGTGCCCCTGATTGTGATTTTAAAAACTACTTCAAAACAAAACCTAAGGATTTCAGGCATCTTAGTCCTGTTTGCAGGTACTTCTGAATGAAGTTGGGTTAAAAGTCTTACTTTATTTGATAACAGCAAAGATAAAGATGACCTATTGTGTTTTCAATTCAGCAGGTTTTCTATTTTTCATATAGACACAGATTTAAAAGGGATTTAGTTCAAAATAATGGGGGGAGAAGTATCTCTCCCCCTTATGAAACATGGAGGGGCTAGATGTAGCTAGGTGCTGGAGCTGAATGATAGAGACTGGGGAATTCATTTTTTAAATTCTCTCTTCCATATACTTGATATTTTCCATAGTAAAGGTGTTTTTTTAATTTATAGAATAGATAAAAATCTTCCTCCTTACTGCTATACGTGCAGCAACTGTTTTTCTAAAGTTTAGGCTATGTTATTGAGGTGTTCACTTTGATGATGAAACTACATACATGACGGGATAACCATTATTGTTATTACTATTTATTTTTATTTTTTTGTAAATTTTTTTTTAATTTTTTTTTATTTCTTTATGATAGTCACAGAGAGAGAGAGAGAGAGGCAGAGACACAGGCAGAGGGAGAAGCAGGCTCCATGCACCGGGAGCCCGACGTGGGATTCGATCCCGGGTCTCCAGGATCGCGCCCTGGGCCAAAGGCAGGCGCCAAACCGCTGTGCCACCCAGGGATCCCCTCATTCCTTGATTCTTATAACTCTCTGTCACTCTCCAACACTACCGTGATAATTATTAGTGGTTTCCATACCCATGTAGATGATCCTGCTGATATCCCGGCCACCTGGCCATCACAATTGTGTCCTCTACTTTACCTCACTCACTCATACACATGGTGATGCCCTAGAGTCTAGACTAAGAGCACACTTTTTTTGTAAAGGGCTAGCTGGTAAATATTTTAGGCTTTGCAGGCCAGGAGGCAAGATCTTCAATTCTTGGAACAACTCTTCTTGCTGAAAGAATAGTAGTCCTTGTATGTCTGAAGATAGTAGTCCTTGTATGTATGTGTGTATGTTACATTTAAAAATGTAAACACTAGGGATCCCTGGGTGGCGCAGCGGTTTGGCGCCTGCCTTTGGCTCAGGGCGCGATCCTGGAGACCCGGGATCGAATCCCACGTCGGGCTCCCGGTGCATGGAGCCTGCTTCTCCCTCTGCCTGTGTCTCTGCCTCTCTCTCTCTCTCTCTCTGTGACTATCATAAAGAAATAAAAAAAAAAATTTAAAAAAATTTATTTATTCATGAGAGACACAGAGAGAGAGGCAGAGACACAGGCAGAGGGAGTAGCAGGCTCCCTCTGGTTGGCAGGTTGGCAGGGAACCCATCATGGGACTTGATTCTGGGTCTCCAGGACCATGCCCTGGGCTGAAGGTGGTGCTAAACCGCTGAGCCCCACCCCCCGCCGGTGATTTGAGATTTCACCATTTTCTTCATTCCCAGTTTTGTTTTTAACAAACCCTTCCCATGTATTTTTTGAAGATCCTTCTCACTAGATGAAAATGTAATGATGAGTCTATGAGAATTTGTGTGGAAGGGGATAGGGAAGACCTCTACCAAAGCTGTAAGGCTAAGTTTTCATTCATAATTTGTTATAAAAGCTTTTCACTCAGGTGGCCTAAAACTAGGCCTAGGAGAGCTAGATAATTTGACCAGTAGAGGTAGGTGGGAATATGGGGTCACCCGTGCTCCGCGATGCTTTGTGAAATGGGATGTTAAAACTGATTCCACTAAGTGCTTCTGAGTAACCAATCAATTCACTTCCTTGCTGCTGTTTGACATTCTCACAGTGACCATCTTTCCACCGTAGAAAAGGACACAAATGGAGAAGTTCTGTGGGTGTGGTGTTATCCTTCCACGACAGCTACTTTAAGGAATTTACTGCTGAGAAAATGCTGCCTTACAGATGAGAGCAAACTTCTCCATCCCTTCGTCTTTGGTCAGTACAGAAGAACGTGGTTTTATATCACAACAATTGAAGTTCCAGATTCTTCAGTTTTGATAAAGGTATAACTGCATAAAGGTCACACAACCAAAAATATTTAAAGTGATATCACATTATTCCAGTAACACTTAGCTTTATACATTATCATTCACAGCACACTTTTGAAAAATGTTGAATATGATTTTGATTGAGAATGTTTCCTTTCAGGTTTCACTCTCATTTATTCTATAAATGTTTGTTGGTGTATATTCTATTCCTGACCCTGTGGTTGGTATAGTGAAACCTTTTCCAGGTTATAATCTGATGGAGTAGAAACGTAGATGTACTTTCAAATACAAGACTCTGATTAAAAGTGGAAAGAAGCATTTCCTATAATTAAAAACTATTTTAAAGGATAAAATTATCCTTGGTATAATTAAGAAAAGTTTTTTCATTTGTTTGTGATTGGTAAGGGTATATTAAGAATAGAAAGAGTTAAACTCATGTATTCAGTAGGCTTTTGTGTGTGTCATTTGATATGACGTATCAGTGAGACATGTTGAAAACCAGTATGTGGTCATTGTGGATTTTTCTAACCTCAAGCAACCAGCAGGTTTTTTTCAAAGAAAAGAAATATTGGAAAGTGGCTAAGCTCCTGGCGTGTTCCTGAGTGGGGACTTCTTTTATCTTCTAGGGCTACTTTTTTTTTTTTTTAGGGCTACTTTTATAGCTGATAGCCAGACTATATGAAGCATGTCCAAGATACCAGTTTAAGGAATTACATTTAAAATAACAGGAAGGCAACTATTTAAAACTGCTAGAGGTTTGGGGCGCCTGGATGGCTCGCTCAGTTGGTTAAATGTCTGAATCTTGATTTCTGCTCAGGTCATGATCTCAGGATCCTGAGATCCAGCCCCAGGGCATGCTCCACACTTAGCTGGGAGTCAGCTTCTCTCCCTCTGCTACCTCCTCCACCACATGCACACTTGCACATGTGCTCTTTCTCTATCTCTCTCTCAAAATAAATAAATAAAAAATCTTTTAAGGAATAATACAACTGCTAGAGATTTAAGATAAAACATTCATAATTAGAAAATACAAATTGCAAAAAAGATGTTTTTCAGCGTGTTATAAAAGCTTTGGTTTGGTTCATTAAGTTCTTGCTGAAAAGTCTTAATGTATCTTCAAGTAGATTTATCTATGTTTTGCCTATAGTCTGCCAAACAATAGCAACATTGATTTCAAATCTGTTTTTCAGATTTGAAAAGTAGCAAGATTTTATTTATTTATTTATTTGGAAGATTTTATTTATTTATTCATGAGAGATACAGAGCGCACACGAGAGAGGCAGAGACACAGGCAGAGGGAGAAGCAGGCTCCATGCAGGGAGCGTGACGTGGGACTCGATCCCGGGTCTCCAGGATCACAACCTGGACTGAAGGCGCCAAACTGCTGAACCACTCGGGCTACCCAATAGCAAGATTTAGAGATAGTTCTTATACTTCAAAATATGATTTCTAAACGTATTTTGGAAATACTTTTTATAAAGTTGTTTTATCTCAATGGAAATAATAGATGTGATTAGCAGAAATTTATAATAATAGAGTCATATAGATAAATGAAGCTTATTGTAACAGTGCTTTAGATTATATGGCATTCTACAGAGAATTGACTATTTCAGGAACTGTGTGATTTTGCTATATGTATTTTTGTTTCCTATCCTGTTTCATTATTAATATTATTTTTTCTATTTCATTAATTAATAGTTGATTGGGATCCCTGGGTGGCGCAGCAGTTTGGCGCCTGCCTTTGGCCCAGGGCGCGATCCTGGAGACCCGGGATCGAGTCCCACGTCGGGCTCCCGGTGCATGGAGCCTGCTTCTCCCTCTGCCTGTGTCTCTGCCTCTCTCTCTCTGTGACTATCATAAATAAATAAAAATTAAAAAAATTTAAAAAAAAAATTAATAGTTGATCAATTGGTAGGTCTAATACAGCATTTCTAATTTTGCTTTGATGAGGTTAGGGGACTTCAAATGAAAACTCACATTTTTGATACTTGAAATATATTTGTGTTTTTTTGTTTTTTTTTAAAGACTTTTTTTTTTAATTTTTATTTATTTATGAGAGAGAGAGAGAGAGAGAGAGAGAGAGAGAGAGAGGCAGAGACACAGGCAGAGGGAGAAGCAGGCTCCATGCACCGGGAGCCCGACGTGGGATTCGATCCCGGGTCTCCAGGATCGCGCCCTGAGCCAAAGGCAGGCGCCAAACCGCTGCGCCACCCAGGGATCCCTATATTTGTGATTTTGAAAAAATTTTAACTGAAAGTATTCCATTCTTATCTAGGAAATTAAATATAATATATATATATAAGTATATGTGTGTGTATATAAACATAAAAGTATAAAGAAACAAAGTGAAAACTTGGTTACATTTTGATCTTTTCCTTTTAATGCCAGTGTGTCTTGTACAAGAGGGTTATTAGAATATAGTAATAAAAAATAAATCTGTGAAAGTGTCTTTAAAAAGTATACTTTTTTTGTTTCTTTTGGACAGGTGACTCATTTTTCTATTGTTCTGACCGCCAAAGATTTTAACCCAGAGAAATATGCTGCCTTCACTAGGATATTGTGTAGGTCTGTATGAAAACTGTATTAAATGCTATCATACAAAAATGAAGATCTTACTCAATAGTTATATAGCAGATTTCAACACCAAGGAAACAAATTTCAGCCCTCTGCCTCCCCAACTTAATCTTTACTGGTCCTCCAGAAACTGTTTTATAAAGAGGAACTTTCTCTTCTGCTTTGAGGATACTGTTCCTCTTGTTTGGGAAAATGGTAGATGGAGGAGAAAAAGCAGTGTACACAACTATTGTAGTTCCTGGGTATTTTGAGTTACTTGCCAATTTTGGTCTGCTGCTTCTACTCACTTGTGATTTAGAACTTTCCTTAACAGGATGGATAAGTTAAGTGCTGGTGAAATGATAAGCTGGTCCATATGTGTCAAAGTCTATGTATGGGAGTAATTTTGGGGCAAGTTAACCGGCATTTTGAATTATGCTAAAGCACGGGACAATATTCCTTAGCTGGAATTCTGAGAAGCTGAGAATCTGATTAGTTAATCATGACTCAGATAAACTTCTTTAGTTTCATCCTAGCTGTTGAAAAAAATTGTGTAAAATATACCAGTCTGCTCTCTTGCCTTGGTAAGTACATGCACTAGAGTTAATGAAATCTTTCTTAGATATTAGGGACATTGGTTTTTCCTTAATCAGGGCTTTGACAGGTTTTGATTTTTTTTTTTTAATACTGTCATGAGATAGACCTGTAATTCTAATGTTATCTATTACAACTTCAGTCCTCAAGCTTGTGTCCAATAAGTAGTTTTGGGGGCAGGGGCAAAGGGAGTTGTTTTGTTTTTCTTACTATAACCTGATAAATCGTTGGCTTTTTTTTTGCCATTTTTATGTACACACACTCATAGAGTGGAAATCTACTTTCTCATTACTTAGGAGTTTCAGGTAGGTTGTGTTTTGACAAAATGAAGTTTTACTGGTTTTGCAGCCAGCTGTGATAAGAGAGGCTTCTTGCTCTTGTGAGATAAGTTCCAGGTATATAGTTCACTGTGGAATATATCTTCATATTGTCTGCTACTATGGCACTGACACAAAAGGAGATTATTATCATAAGAAGAGACACCATCTAGGAGCCATGAGCTAAAAACACTGCAAAGTTGTTTTTGAACAAACATTGGACTCCCATGTCATTTGACTGAGTCTAGGTTAGGTTACCCAGTGAATTCACTGGTAAATATTATGGGGCCCAGAATGTAAGGTTGCTTTAGACCCCACTTCTTGCCCAAGAGGAAGCCCAAAGGAAGGGTTCCTTGGCTTCTGAAGGGCCATGGCACTGTTGCATTCTGGACTCTTCACCTATCACAGTTTAGGAGAAATGAGGACTCAGGGCAGCCACCTCTTCTGCCCCCTACCACTTACTGCACTTGCCTTTGTGTGTGTACATACCCACAGGCTCCTGCGTGTGCACATGCACATAGACCAGCACTTTTCGATTTTGAGGTTACCATGGAGGTGCTCCCTTCCACTTCTGGGGACAGGAGCAGACACGCATGCCTTCTACAACATGCTGCTCACAGCAGCAGTGGAAGAGCCCATGTGAAGGAGTCCATTCCCTATGTGGGGTTCAGGTCACTTGCCATGACCCCCTTCATCTTCTAGTCCCTCCAGCTAGTGGCCATGGTCGAGAACCCAGGTCTCATGCACTCCTGGAGTCAGTTGTCCATACCAGGTGTGACAGCCTGTGGCTGTCCGATCTGAATAAGCTCCTGTGTGTTACACTTTGTGGTTTTTCCTGTGGAATGATTTTCAGAGAATTCCTCCCTCTGTTCAGTATTTCATGGCTCAGGGTTATCATGGAAAAAGTGGCCTTATCCTACTACCCTTTCTATGTTTCTCTTCTCTATTACTGTATATCTATTTTACAATTTTTTTGTATCTATTTTACAGTTTTAATGGTATGTTGTTTATTTGGTGGTGGTAATGTAAGCACATAGTAAAAACAATACAGAAGGGTATACAGTGAAAGTAAGTCCCTTCTTTCCCTGATTCCCAACTTCCCAAATGGAGACATTTTCTCCATATAGAAACATGTGTATGAGTTCATGGGTTTGATTATCTTATATTTATGATAGCTTAGCATATTCATTGTTCTCTACCTTTTTTTTTTCTCAATTTGTACATTAAAATAATTTTAAAACATTGATGATTGACAAAATTTGGTAGGAATTAAAACACTTGCTTTTTACACTTCATGTACAATATAGTTTTCAGTTTGATCTGTTTTAAACAATGATTTAATTTTCCTTCCAGTTTTCTATTCCCTTAGCTGCTTACAGACCCAAGTAGGCCCAGTCTTGCTTCTCAAGCAAAATTTAGATTTAGTTACTCACAGGAAGAGATTTCGGGGGAGGGGACTGATTTCACATATGAGCTATAAATGTAGCCAGTGTCCTGTCAGCATTTTCTGGAACTTGATGGTGAATATATCTAGAGTGCATTTATCACTAGAAACTTAAAGGAGTTTGATTTCTTAATTATCTAAATATAGCTACCTCTGGAACTCTGATAATAAATATAGGTCCTATAATTAGTGCTTTTTCCATAAACATTGCAAAACTTCTTCCTTGTCAGAGGAAATCCCAGTAATAAATAGAGTTGTTCGGACTAGAAGCACCATTTGTGAATGTAAGACATAGATTAAGTATACCATATTTTTAAGAATAATAGGGCCTCAGAAAGTCCATAGCTCATTCTCTTGCCTAAGTGGATGATAGCAGGCTTCCCCAGATGTGAGGAGAAAGCCACCTTCAAGGAATTGTTGAAGTCTCTCGAGTGCTTGGTTTTTTTAAATTCATTTTCAAATTAAATTCTGGAAGTGGTCGCATCATGAAAAGATTCAGGCATTCAGAAGTGTATTAGCAAGTCTTAGCAAGGACCCGTATGTAGGCTTGGGTTGCATTACTCCATGTGGTTCATGCTGAATAAAAGGATGGTACTTTTTGTTCTTCTTACAGAATGTACCTGAAACATGGCAGCCCAGTTAAAATGATGGAGAGTTATATTGCAGTTCTCACAAAGGGGATATGCCAGAGTGAAGAAAATGGCTCTTTTCTCAGCAAGGATTTTGATGCCCGAAAGGCATATCTCGCAGGCTCCATCAAAGGTAAAAAAAAAAAAAAAAAAGAAAAAGGGATCCCTTGGTGGCGCAGCGGTTTGGCGCCTGCCTTTGGTCCAGGGCGTGATCCTGGAGACCCAGGATCGAATCCCACGTCAGGCTCCTGGTGCATGGAGCCAGCTTCTCCCTCTGCCTATGTCTCTGCCTCTCTCCCTCTCTCTCTCTGTGACTATCATAAATAAATAAAAATTAAAAAAAAAAAAAAACTAAGAAAGTTTAAAAAAAAAAAGGAAAAAAGACATAAAACAAAACCCCATCTCAGATGGTTCCATCCCAACAATAATAATATCCCCAAGCCCAGGGCAATCCTCATTAGACGCTGATATCCTGTAAGCTTTCTTTTCTTTTCATCTTTGTTTTTGTTTTTGTTTTTTTTAAGATTTTATTTAGGGCAGCCCCAATGGCTTAGCAGTTTAGTGCCACCTTCAGCCCAGGGCGTGATCCTGGAGACCTGGGATTGAGTCCCACGTCAGGCTCCCTTGCGTGGAGCCTGCTTCTCTCTCTGCCTGTGTCTCTGCCTCTCTTTCTCTCTCTCTCATCACTGTGGAAGACGGGGATAGTAAGGGTCTAAGTGGGTGGGAGGCATGGGGAAGGTTTTGGAGTAGAACCAGGGGTGTGTGTAAAGGGGGGTGACAAGGTCCTCCAGGGGAGGGGGACCAAACTTGTCTGGTGGATGAGAAGGCGTATTTATTTGTCTCTCTCTCTCTCTCTCTCTCTCATTCTCTGTGTCTCTAATAAATAAAATCCTTAAAAAAAATTTAAAAAATAAAGATTTTATTTGTTTTTGAGAGACAGAGAGAGAGGCAGAGACATAGACAGGGAGAAGCAGGCTCCCCATGGGGAGCCCGAGCCCGATGCAGGACTTGATCCCAGGACCCCGGGATCATGCCCTGAGCTGAAGGCAGACGCTCAACCATTGAGCCACCCAGGCATCCTCTGCATACTTTCATGTATGTAATATTTATTTGCGAAACAGGAAGGAAGCTCAACTTCTACATTGCCTTCTTTGATTAGAATTCTCTCTTTGGAAAGCAGATTTTTGTGGCGGTCCTTTCCATAGGATTCTGACAGTTATATAGAAATGTTATTTCTCAGCTAAGCTGAATTTCATGGCTTGAGTCTCCACTGACTTCCATAGTTTTCCTCTCCTTACTTTTAGCAGTTATTTCTTCCATCTGGAGAGCTCAAGCTCCTGACCCAGAGTTCCTCTTTTAACTCCCTGCCTTTCTTTCCTAGCTGGAACATCCAAAATGGCCGTATGGGGCTAAGCCACAGACTTGAATCAGGGTTCTTAAAAGGGAAGAGAGGGGAACTCTGAGGATTGTGCTAGCTTTCATTCTTGTCCTCCCACAGCACTATCTATTGCTCTTGATGCTCATGTCCTTTTTTATTTTTTATATTTTTTAAAGATTTTATCTTATTTATTCATGAGAGACACACAGAGAGAGACAGAGACACAGGCAGAGGGAGAAGTAGGCTCCCCATGGGGAGCCGGGTGTGAGACTTAATCCCAGGATCACACCTTGAGCTGAAGGCACATGCTTAACCACTGAGCCACCTAGGTGTCTCTTGATCCTCCTGTCCTATACCATTGCTAAGCATCCCTGTTAAAGTGTTAGATTTGTCCAGCTATCTCAAAAGGACCCAGTCATGATATGTATATGTGTTGGGGAGGGGGTGTCTTTTTAAAAATTAAGGATTTTTCTTGACAGAAAATGCTGGTTCCCTTCATATCATTTCCTATCTTATGGTTCTGGCTTCATCTGTGCATCCAGCACAGAGTCCCTTGGAGGGAGAAAGCGGGTTTAGGCAGCACTAGCATCCGTCCTAGGGAGCAGATAATGGATTTATATGCCTGTCAAGGGTATAAGGTGCTTCTTTATTCTCTGTTTTGAAAATATTTCTGTATTCTATATATAGAAAATGACCTCTATTTATTGGAAAGAAATAAAAATTTTGTTTCCTTATATATTATTTAATGCAGTAACTTATAATTTCTTGTGTTTTAAGACATTGTATCTCAGTTTGGAATGGAAACTGTTATCTTACACACAGCGCTGATGCTAAAGAAAAGAATTGTCGTCTATCATCCCAAAATAGAAGCCGTCCAGGAGTTCACCAGGTATTGTCTCTGGTCATTAAAAAGTGGAGGCTTTGTTGGCAGCCAATTTGGGGCAATATGTGTTCCTGTGTGCTCTGTTCTGTTGCACATTTGGTATAAATAAAATGTGTTAGGCTGTGGGTGAAATGTCATTTTGGTCTAATGTTTCAGGTGAGATTTAGTATTTCAAAGTCACTGAATTTAGGCAGATTCTCTCTCTTTTTTTTTTTTAAGTATTTATTTATTTGAGAGAGAGTGTGGTGGGGAGGTGGCAGAGAAACACTCTGCTGAGCAGGGAGCCTGATATCTGGCTCAATCTCAGGATTCCAGGATCACAACCCAAGCCAAAGGCAAATGCTCAACTGAGCCACCAGGAACCCCTAGGGAGATTCTTTTTTAAATTTAGAAATATGAATAAAGCAGGGAGTTTGAACTTTTCCTTGCCAGACAATAAATATTTTAGGCTTATAACCTATAGGGTCTCTGACTCAACCACCCAACTGCCAGAGTCAGTGCATATGTAAATGAATGAGCATGGCTGTGTTCTAGTAAAACTTTATGTGCAAACACAGAGGGCTGATCCATAGTTGTAGCTTCCTGACATCTGTTTTTTTTTTTTTTTTTTTTTAAGATTTATTTTTTTTAAATATTTTATTTATTTATTCATGGCAGAGACACAGGCAGAGGGAGAAGCAGGCTCCATTCAGAGAGCCTGATGTGGGACTTGATCCCGGGACTCCAGGATCACGCCGTGGGCCGAAGGCAGGCGCTAAACCGCTGAGCCACCCAGGGATCCCCAAGATAGATAGATAGATAGATAGATAGATAGAGTAGATAGATAGATAGATAGATTTATTCATTCATTCATTCATTCATTTATGAATGATAGATATAGGGAGAGAGAGAGGCAGAGACACAGGCAGAGGGAGAAGCAGGCTCCATGCAGGGAGCCCGACATGGGACTCGATCCTGGGACTCCAGGATTGCGCCCTGGGCCGAAGGCAGGCGCTAAACCGCTGAATCCCCCCGACACCTGTTTTAAGTTATTTTTTTTTTTCTTGGTCAACCTTCAGTTTTATTTTCGAGTACTTAATACGGTCTCATGGTTTAACATCCAAAGGTTTAAATAATTATTTTTTTTCACTTTTACCACAGACTCACTCTCTTTTTTTTTAAAGATTATTTGAGAGAGAGAGAGCATGCACAGGTGGAGGAAGAGGGACAAGACTCCATGCTGAGCATGGACCTGATGCTGTGCTTGAGCTCATGACCTGAGCCAAAATCAAGAGTCGGTTACTTAACTGACTGAGAAGCCCAGACACCCCTCTCTTATTTATTTTATTTTTTTAAATTTTATTTAAATTCAGGACTCCTGGGAGGTTCAGCAGTTGAGCATCTGTCTTTGGCTCAGGGCGTGATCCTGGGGTCCCGAAATGGAGTCCCACATTGGGCTCCCTGCATGGAGCCTACTTCTCCCTCTGCCTCTGTCTCTGTCTCTCTTTCTCTGTCTCTCATGAATAAATAAATAAAATATTTAAAATTTTTTTAAATTTAAATTCAATTCACCAACATAGTATTATTATTTTTATAGTTTAAAAAATTTTTTTCTTTAGCAAATCTAACTTGTTCATAGATTTATTTTTTTTTTAAGATTTTATTTATTTATTCATGAGAGACAGAGAGAGGCAGAGACACAGGCAAGGGAGAAGCAGGCTCCCTGTGGGGAGCCCAATGCGAGACTCGATCCCAGGACCTTTGGATCACACCCTGAGCCAAAGGCAGATGCTCAACCACTGAGCCACCCAGCCGCCCCAGATTTCTTTTTTAAAATCAGGAAGACTGGGATCCCTGGGTGGCGCAGCGGTTTGGCGCCTGCCTTTGGCCCAGGGCGCGATTCTGGAGACCCGGGATTGAATCCCACATCGGGCTCCCGGTGCATGGAGCCTGCTTCTCCCTCTGCCTGTGTCTCTGCCTGCCTCTCTCTCTCCTCTCTCTCTCTCTCTGTGACTATCATAAAATAAAAAAAAAAAAAATTTAAAAAAAAAATAAATAAAATCAGGAAGACTTAGCTTTAGTGCTTACTGTATGCCGGGTATCATGTAAGTCCCCTTACATTACTAAATTTACTCATGATGAAAAGTCTGCAATATTCTTGCCCTCTCTTTCTTATGAATGAGAAAATTGAGGCTCTGAGAGGCTAACTGGTTAGAAAATGGGAAAAAGAAGGCTTGATAGTCAGGATCTGGGTTAAAATCCTAGGAGGGCACCTTACTAGCTCTCTGACCACATATGGGATACTTCAACTTTCTAAGCCTCCATTTCTTTATCTGAAAAATGAAGATTATAGTGCACACTTCGTAAGCTTGTTGTCAGGATGGGAGATACTCTGTAAAGTCTTTGGCCTGTGTCTTGCTCATTGAGTGCACTTTAGAAATGATTGCTACAATAGTGATTGCCTCAGATTTTAGGTGAGAGGGCTAGGACTTTCACCAGCTTTGACCCCCAAAGTCTTTATTTTGCCACCCAATTACCCTTTCCCTCTCCGTTGATGCTTCTGAAACCGAGATGTCCACAGCTTCTGAAATACAGAGCAGGGCCCCAGTGGGTTCACCAAATCATGGGTAAATTTGGCATCTCTTTCTCTAGTAGCTGTATTATTGGAAGTTGTTTTTTTTTTTTTTTTTTTTTTTGGTTATTGGAAGTTTTTTAAGGAAACTTACCTAGTATAAAAACAAACCAAAGTAGTTTACAAGTTTGATTAGAATTTTAAATATGAAATGAGAGACTTCAGAAAAATTTGTTGCTTGCAGGGCCCCATTTTGGATCTTAGCCTTTGGCTGCCTCCGTGGCAGTTTTCAGAGTGAGGTGTTTGGAGGAAAATTTTAGAAGTGTTACTCCTTGCCACCACGGACATCTTTTGAAACTTCATCTTGAGCCTTTTGTAGCTAATCTGACCCAAAAAAAAGAAAAGAGCAGAATTTAAAAGAATTTCCTTGTCTAGGAAAAATTGTGTTCTATTCCTAATTTAATGTGTTCTTTCTCGACTGAGTTTTTAATTTATTGTTGTTGAGGTTTTGCCGGATGGCTTTCGCATCCACTTTAGACAGTGAACCGTGGAGGTGACTTGGGGCCTTCGCCGCCCCGCCTGGGTGGAGGGCGCAGGTCTCGGGTCATCCCCGGGTTCGCACATTGTCTCTTTCTTATCATGAGCCTGTGGAGATCTGTGCTTTTGTACTTCTGGGCTTCGGGGGCGGTAACTTTCTAGTGATTGATTTGAAGCCTGGAGGTATTGGCATGTTTAATGTTCCTGCCTCTGCCTCTGATAGCCAGTTTCCTCTTGGGGGAAGAAGAGGAAGGAGGGCGGGCTGAATCGGGTGTGAGCCAGCAACCTTTTGAGTTCTTGCCTTAATTCCTCAGGACTCTGCCTGCCCTGGTGTGGCATCGACAGGACTGGACCATACTTCATTCCTATGTGCACCTGAATGCCGATGAGCTGGAAGCCCTGCAGATGTGCCCAGGTAAACGACAGGATCTCAGGGGAAGAGAGCCTTGGCTTTATCCAGGGTTGTTGCCATTTTGGGGAAGGTTGTTTCTGCATTCCTAAACGAAATAATGATGATTTATTATTTCTTAATATTTCTTTCTTCCTGCATGGAGCCTACTTCTCCCTCTGCCTGTGTCTCTGCCTCTCTGTGTGTGTCTCATGAATAAATAAATAAAATATTAAAAACAATTTTTAATGATGAGATTCTAAGAATAATTTAATAGCACTGTTATTTATATCTGTAGGAATCCTGACATTGTTGTGACACAGTCTTTTGTTTTTGTTTCATTAAATTTAAGGTTATCATTCCCTTTATACTTTTATGATCTTTTTTTTAAGATTTTATTTATTTGAAAGAGAGAGAATGCACAGACACACAAGCAGGGGGAGTGGCCGAGGGAGAGGGAGAATCAGGTTTCCCGCTGAGCAGGGAGCCTAGTGTGAGGCTCAATCCCAGGATCCTGAGATCATGACCTGAGCTGAAGGCAGGCACTTAACTTGACTGAGCCACCCAGGCGCCCCCTAAGACTTATGGTCGTAAGATTCTTTCATAAAGTGATAATGATGATGATAGATGGTACGGGCTTTTGTTTTTGCATTTTTTAGTTATGAAAAATTTCTTACATATAAACTAATGTGCAATATTTGTGCAAGTTATAAAAAAATAAAAGGAACACTCATGGACTTACCAGAGATGAAAAAATGGTATATGGTCTGTACTTTGAAGCATCTCATGTACCTTCCCATCTCATTTCTTACTCCCTTCCTCTGGCCCCATACACAGAAATACATAGCTCTAAATAATATATTATTTAGTTTTACTAAACTACCTTTATATATAAGGAATCATGATGCATGAATTCTTCTGTGGTCTGTGTTTTGGTTTTTTATTTTTGCTTAACAGGATTTATGTATTTCCATCTGGGTATTTGTAGTCTCATTCATGTTCACTGCTGTATAGTATCCCATTAAGTGATATACCATAGTTTATTCATTTGGACTTTTCTTATTATTTACATTTATTTATTTATGAGATTTATTTATCTATTTCAGAGAGAGAGAATGCATACAAGTAAGGGGGGGGTGGAGAGGGGTAGAGGGAGAGAATCTCAAGTAGACTCCTCACTGAGTGCAAGCCTAATGCAGAGCTTGATCCTAGGACCCTGAGATCATGACCTGAGCTGAAATCAAGAGTCAGTCGCTCAACTCACTGAGCCACACTAGGTGCCCCTCTCATTATTCACTTTTAAAACAGTGCTGCTGGGGATCCCTGGGTGGCGCAACGGTTTGGCGCCTGCCTTTGGCCCAGGGCGCGATCCTGGAGACCCGGGATCGAATCCCACGTCGGGCTCCCGGTGCATGGAGCCTGCTTCTCCCTCTGCCTGTGTCTCTGCCTCTCTCTCTCTCTGTGTGACTATCATGGATAAATAATAAAAAAAAAAGGGATCCCTGGGTGGCGCAGCGGTTTGGCGCCTGCCTTTGGCCCAGGGCGCGATCCTGGAGACCCGGGATCGAATCCCACATCGGGCTCCCAGTGCATGGAGCCTGCTTCTCCCTCTGCCTGTGTCTCTGCCTCTCTCTCTCTCTGTGTGACTATCATGGATAAATAATAAAAAAAAAAGGGATCCCTGGGTGGCGCAGCGGTTTGGCGCCTGCCTTTGGCCCAGGGCGCGATCCTGGAGACCCGGGATCGAATCCCACATCGGGCTCCCAGTGCATGGAGCCTGCTTCTCCCTCTGCCTGTGTCTCTGCCTCTCTCTCTCTCTCTCTGTGACTATCCTAAGTAAATAAAAATTAAAAAAAAAAAATTAAAACAGTGCTGCTATAAGCATTCTTATTATGGGTCTCTTAGTGCACACATGTAAGACTTTCTGTAGGTTATATGTCAAGAAGTAGAATTTCGGGGTTATAAGGCATGCAGATCCTCAAGCTGCTGGGTAATGCCAAATATTTTCCTCAGAAATTGTACCAATTTATCCTCCTGCCAGTGTAGGAGAGGTCCCATTGCTTCCTGTCCTCAACAACACTTGATTACTGTCAAACTTTAAAATGTTTGCTAACTTGGTGGGTATACAGTGATATTTCATGTGCTTTTAATTTTCATTGATTCTTAATGAGGTTAAACATATTTCTGTTCTTGCCATTTGTGTTTCCTCTTCTGCAAAGTAACTGTTTTTTTACATATTTTCCTCCCTCGGTGGTTTTTCTTATTGATTCATAGAAATTCTTCATATATTCAGGATATGAACCCATTGTTGGCTATATATGTTACAAAAAAATCTGAGTTTGTGGATTTTATTCTTATGGTACTTTGTAATGAATAGAATTTATTTTAAGGTTTTATTTATTTATTTGACAGAGAGAGCATAAGCATGGGGAGCTACAGAGGGAGAAGGAGAAGTAGGCTCCCCACTAGCAGGGAGCCTGATGTGGGGCTAAATCCCAGGACCGTGGGATCATGACCTGAGCCAAAGGCAGACTCAACCAACGGAGCCACCCAGGCACCCCAATGAATAGAAATTTGTTTTTAGACTTTTTATTAAGTTAATATGCTTCATCTGCTTGTCACCCAATTTCAACATTTGTGAACATATTACAATCTTGTTTTACCTAGTATTCCTCATGCTTTTTGTCCCCCCTGGGTTTTTGTTGTTAACTGATGTATAGTTGTCATATGATATTAGTTTCAGATATACAAAGTAGAGATTTGACAATTACATACATTATGAAATATTCACCGTAATAAATTTACTCACCGTCTGTCACCCTATTTACTGTCACTCAAGTTATTACAGTATTATCAGCTATATTCCCCATGCTGTACTTTTCATCCCTGTGACTTTTTTTTAAGACTTTATTTATTCATGAGAGACACAGAGAGGCTCACAGGGAGCCCAATGCGGGACTCAATCCCTGGATTTGGGATCACACCCCGAGCCGAAGGCAGACGCTCAATTGCTGAGCCACCCAGGTGTCCCATCCCTGTGACTTATATATTTTATAACTGGAAATTGTGCCTCTTCATCTCCTTCAACCATTTCGTCCATCCCCTTACTCTAGAAATCCTAATTTTAGGGCGGCCCAGGTGGCTCAGCGGTTTAGCGCCCCCTGCAGCCCAGGACCTGATCCTGGAGACTCAGGATCGAGTCCCATGTCAGTCTCCCTGCATGGAGCCTGCTTCTCCCCCTGCCTGTGTCTCTGTGTCTCTCTTTGTGTGTTTCTCATTAATAAATAAATAAAATCTTAAAGAAAAATACATGCTGAAATAATCTTTCAACTCCCAAAGTTAAAAAAAAAAAAAAGAAAGATCCTAATTTTAATGTGTTGGAATTTATTAAACTTTTCTTTTATGATTTCAGTTAGTTTAAGAAAATCTTTATACCAAGGGTAGAAGCATATTCTAATTTATAAACATTTAAAAGGTTTTTTTTTCTTCCCCACTTAATGTACCTAGAACTACTTTTTTTTTTAGTGAATTTGGAATTTTTTTTTTTCCAGTTGGAAAGCCGCTTGGCCCAGGACTGCTTAGTGAATGGGCTCCTCTTTTCTCCAGTAATCAATATCATTTCTGTCATATGTCACATTTCTAATGTGAGTTTGTGTCTGGGTGTTCTATGGCTAAATTTTTGTTTTTATTGCTATTGTTTTTTAAATGTTCTCTCTTAGTAAAGCAAAACTTTAGCAATGACACAGTGGTCCTCAAAATTTTTTTTATTGTTTTGAGTTGTGCTGATGTATGAAATCTGAAGTCTGGTAGTTGTTGTCTTAGCATCAGTTCCAAAGTTCTGCTAATGCTCAAGTTGCCATAATTCCTTGAGCATTTATTTCATCAGTTCTGACACTGGTGACAGCTGGTGCTGTTCCCAGCATGCTGTCCTTGGTAAATCTGGGTGACCTAAAGGGGGAACATTGGTCCAGAGAACACACTACCTCTGCCTCAGCTGTCATTCTTGACCTGTGTAGCAGTGACTGAAAATGCCTTCTCCCTTGAACACTAAAAGCTAGTTTGGAGACATTTTGAGTTGTCTGAGTTTCTGTAGGCAACTGACGAGAGTGACATCTTAAGAAATGCCATAGGGGGATCCCTGGGTGGCGCAGCGGTTTGGCGCCTGCTTTTGGCCCAGGGCACGATCCTGGAGACCCGGGATCGAATCCCACATCGGGCTCCCGGTGCATGGAGCCTGCTTCTCCCTCTGCCTGTGTCTGCCTCTCTCTCTCTCTCTCTCTCTCTCTCTCTGACTATCATAAATAAAAAAATAAAAAAATAAAAAAAGGAAATGCCATAGGGTACAGCTGAATAAAGCAGTGAAGAAAAGCACCAGACGAGCTTTTAGATTCTGTTCACTTTTGATATGTTCACAATAGGATTTGTTCCTGCTCCGGTAATAATTGGTTGTCTTTGTAACACAGGTTATATCGCCGGATTTGTAGACTTGGAGGTGAGCAACAGATCAGACCTCTATGATGTGTTTGTGAACCTGGCAGATAGTGAGATTACCATTGCTCCGCTTGCAAAAGGTTAGTTCTCTGTTCTGTTGATACAAAATGTCAGCTAAGCAAGTCGTACTTTTTAAAATTAATTAGTTTTTAAACATTTTTAACTCCAGTGTAGTTACCATAGTGTCCCAGTAGTTTCAGGTGTACAAGATAAAGATTCAGCACTTCCATATGTTACTCGGTGCTCATCAGGATAAGTGTACTCTTCATCCCCTTCACCTGTTTCACCCGTGCCCCCTGCCTACCTTACACAGTTCTATTTTGTTAGGCTGGTTCTCTAAAACCAGTATTCAAGGGTCTGCTTAGCCTGCTGTGCTGAAACTGGAGGGATTTTTCAATGGCTAGAACACAGCGTCTATTCTTAGAGGCCTCACCATGCTAGTAATACGTTCTGGCTGCTGATGGGGAACTGTGTATGTTAATAAGATACTCTGTCTTGTTTCTCCACATCCCTGTTTAAACACAGTGTATCCTGTTACCTCTTGCTGCATTAACAAATCACTTCTAAACTTAGTGATTTAAAACAGCAAGTGTTTATTATCTCACAATTTCAGGATTAACTGAGCTTAGAGGTTCTGGCTCAAGGTCTGTCCTGAGGGTTCGATCAAAATATTGCCAATCCTGCAGTCCTCCGGAGGCTCAGCTTCTGAGTTAACTCACATGGCTTTTAGCAGGAGGCCTCACCACCTGGGCCTCTCTATAGAGCGGCTTGAGTGTTCTCATAACAGGGCAGCTGGCCTCCCCAGGAGCGAATGAGCCAAGAGACAGAAAGACCACGTCGCCTTTAATGAGTCAGTCTCAGAAGTCCAAGCTCCTTCATACTGTTTGTCAGAAGGAATCCAGTCCACACTTAAGTGAGGGGAAGTGAAGGAAGAGTATCAAAAAAGGTATAGGAATTTAGCTCTGCACAAGGCGGAGTGACTTGTGACTCCTGTATGGAAAATCTTCTTGAATGATATGTCAGTAAGCACAAGAGAACGAGGGAAGTATTGCTTTTTATAAAACCACGGTGACAGGACACTGGCTGTGGCCAGGGCCACTTAAACTGCCAAAGCATCAGGCCCAGAAGGGGTGGCCGTCTCCCTGCTGCCTTCCATTGCTCTGAGTCTCTCACACAAGCTCATCTCGGCCAGCATTATTCCAATGGAGTTTGCTCCTTGGAGTGACAAACAGAAGTGTTTTAATTTTGAACATGAAGGATAAATCGTGACTGTGCCTACCTCCTAGCACATTGTCCTATTTGTGCTCAGTATTAAGATGGAAACGGGAGGTTGTCAGCAGGTTATTTTGAAAATTCCCTCCTGTGATTGTTCATCTTTTCCAGAAGCTGGCATGGTTTTTATTATGTAAACTTCTAAATATTCATGTAGCGTATGCTTGATCTCACCAGAGGCCATGACGATGGGCAAACTGCACAAAGAGATCGGTCAGCTCATTGTCCAGTCTGCAGAAGATCCAGAGAAGTCAGACAGCCAGGTTATACAGGTAAGTCCTCAATCTCCCGATATACTGACAGTCCTGAAATGGTGCTGCTGGGCAGGGTGCAGCAGAGCTGCATAGAGTGCCCGTGACTTGGGGAGCGCCGTGGGCAGACGCTCAGACCAGGGTCTGCAGGGTGTCCCTGGTGACGATGAGCAGGTGGGGAGCACTGAAGCCAAATAGTTTGCAGGCTCTGGGGACAGACATGTACGGGGTCTGGTGCTGAAGACAAGCATCTAGAGTGAGAAGTGTAACACACACACACACACCGCTGAGTGGTCAGGCATGCTCTTCTGGGTCAGCCAGTGCATCCTGTGCTCCTAGCAGAATTTCCATGGAAGAGTGCATTATAAAGAGAAGGTTGCTCTCTTTATATCAGTGGACTCTAGAGAGAGTGTCTTACTCTAGCTTTGATGTACTGTGTTCAGAACGTCGGTAAGCATATAATCAGATCCCTGCCACAGTTAGCGGAGTCTGGGATCAACTCTGCAGGGCTGGCTGCTTGTGGGGTCTGCCTGTCAAGCTGACCACAGTCAGTGTCCATGTGAGCCCGCCTCTCCCCCTCGCCAGCTTGGGATGGCCAAAGAGTTTATTTAATCACTCAGTGAGGTGATAAAGCCCCTCCTCGCGCTGCAGCCTGCCCAGTCTCCTCTCCTGTCTGTATGTCTGCATTGCGCCTGTTCCCAGGCCCTTGCTCCTCATCTGGGATACGCTTCCAGCCTGGCCTCTCCCAGGCCTTGGCTCATCTAGACCCTGTGTCATCCCATGGGGGCCAGAGGCCTGGAAGGATTGTCTCCCTCTGTCTGCACCTGTGCCACCTAGGGGGTCCTGATAAGCAGATCCTGTTTCCTGGTTGGACCTTGCTCTGTTCTCCATCTATTCGTTCATTCACCCGGAAAATATTTATTGAGCACTGACTATATGTCAGGCACGGGGCAAGGGGGATACTGTGGGGAGCAAAGTCCCCTGCCTGCATGGCCTGTATTTAGTGGAGTAGGTGAATAGAAAATAGTGTAAATGCCAGATCATTGTGAGCCATGATAGATGAATGCTGTGATAGAAACAAGAGGCCGGGATCCCTGGGTGGCGCAGCGGTTTGGCGCCTGCCTTTGGCCCAGGGCGCGATCCTGGAGACCCGGGATCGAATCCCACGTTGGGCTCCCGGTGCATGGAGCCTGCTTCTCCCTCTGCCTGTGTCTCTGCCTCTCTCCCTCTCTGTGTGTGACTATCATAAATAAATAAAAATTAAAAAAAAAAAAAAACAAGAGGCCAAGGTAAAGAATGTTAAAGAAGGGTTCAACAACTATCTAGGAGGCAGCATGGGCGCTAAAGGATGAGAGGAGCCACGGCTTTGACAGGAACCCCCCAGCAGCTCTGTTGTTCCTGTTGTTTCTGGGGGGTCATCAGCGCTGGCCAGGAAGAGTGGGCGGGGCTTGTCCTAAGGACCTGATCTCTGAGCTTCTCCTTTCCAACCATGCGGGTGGTCATGCCCATCCATCTCTCTGTCAACATAGGAGTAAAAACATTGACTCTTTTTCTTAAAAAAGACTTAGAGAGAGTGCAAGTGAGCGGGAGGAGGGGCAAACTCTCCGCTGATTAGGGAGCCTGATGAGACCCATGAGCTCAGGATCCATGAGATCACAACCTGATGTAACACCAAGAGCCGGGCGCTTAACCAACTAAGCCACCCAGGTGCCCCAGAACATTGACTCTTTACAATGTTGGTGAACTATGTAAATGAGTATTTTTTTGTTTTGTTGATTTCAAAGATTTTATTTATTGAGAGAGATCATGAGTAGTGGGGAGGAAGGAGAGGGAGAAGCAGACTCCCTGCTCAGGAGTGAGCCCAATGTGGGACTCGATCCCAGGACCCTGAGATCATGACCTGAGTTGAAGGCAGATGTTTAACCCACTGAGCCACTTTGGCCTCCTGTAAATATGAATTATTGTGTTTTTCGGGGACTAAAAGTGATACACAGTATAATGGATGAAGAAAGTGCCTGGCATATCATAGGGGTTTGAAAATATTTGAATGGATGAATGTCAGCAAACCAAGAAAAAAATATGACTTAACGTGACCTCTGGTAAATCCTCAGCCGTGCAAAGCACTGTCAGTCAATAAAGAAGAATAAAGCTCACATGACAAGTGCGGGGTTATTTACCCCAGGCAGAAGAGGACTCTGGGAAGAGATTTGTTCTAAAAACAATACCAGGGTTCCTCAAAAAGTTAAATGCAGGGTTACCATAGATGCAGGAATTCTACTGGGTATATATCAGAAAGAATTGAAAACAGGGACTCAAATAAGTATTTGTACACCCAGGTTCGCAACAAAATGTGGTATATGCATAGAGTGGAACATTAATTATTTAGCCTTAAAAAAGGACTGTGGTACAAGATGGATGAACCTTAAAAACATAATGCTAAGTGAAAGAAGCCAGACACAAAAAGACAAATTTTTTGTGATTATACTTACATAAGCTACCCAGAACAGGCACATTCATAGAGGCAGGAAGTAGAATGGAAGTTACCAGAGTCTGGAGAATGGGATCGGGAGTTACTGTTTAATGGGTACAAAATTTCAGTTTGGGATGATGAAAAAGTTCTGAAAGTGGATAATAGTGGTAAAACATTGCTGAGGTGGTTAATGCCGCTGAATTGTACACTTAAAAATAGCTAAAATGGCAAAAACATGATGCCGGTTTTTCAAAGTTGTTTTAAGTTTCATTTTTCTTAATTTATAAATAGTCTGATAAACTTAAAAAATAGCAGGAAGAACTCTTGGAATACAACAGCGAATCATCTTTTTTGATGCTAACGTATGGCATATTTTCCTGTTTCATTGAAGGATATTTCCCTAAAAACGAGAGAAATCTTCACCAACCTGGAACCATTTTCAGAAGTTTCTGGTGATGGAAAAAAGCTAGTTCTCAATTTTGAGGCCCTGAAGCAAAGACGATTTCCACCAGCAACAGAAAACTTCCTTTACCATCTAGCAGCAGCCGAGCAAATGCTGAAAATCTGACTGTGACAACGTCACTGATGAATGATAGAAAGCTCTCACCATGATTATCCACTAACTATGTAAAATACTGAAAATAACAAAGGAAATTATATATTTTTAATGATTAATTTGCAAGTATTGAGATTTGACCCGAAAGGGCCCTGAAACAGATTTGAAAATTCTTCTGATTTTCTCCTGATTGGTTTCATGCCTGGGATCAGTGTTGGACAAAGTGCTGTAACTACCATATATAACATTAGCAACGGCGTGGTGTCCCGGAGTAAGAGAGAAAAAGCTCTGCCAAGTTCTTGTACAAATCACAGCAAACCCAAAAGCCTTCATTATTCTAAGTTCCAGTTGTCTCATTTTGTAGCCACAAACTAATGGTTTATTTTCAGAAAGCTGCCTGAAATTTTGCTTTGTATTCTTCTAGGAAGAACTTTTATTCCTCATGAGGAACTCTACTTTCTGAGCCAAACTACTAAGTTTTCTGCAGAACACTCTAGAAGATCATTCAAAACAGATCCTGCAGTTGCACTTTCTTGTAAAAGAATTTTTTTTCTTGGCCTTTGAACATTTTTGCCTATATTATGAGGATTTTGCATAGATTTTATACTTGAGTAGACAACTTTAATAATCCATATTTATACTGTTGCAGAGGTGAGCATTTGGCAAACTGAAGCCACTAGTCCTCGTTAATTAACCCTGTTGCTAGCAATGTTCTTTTGAAAAAGATGCCCGTCCTATGGTAGAGTAAAAGAAGCCCATTTTGTATGTAAAAGTATGAGTGAGCAGCAACTTCCTGTGATTGCAAAGGCCAAAACTAGAGAGTGTCTTCAAACTTTAGTATAAGTAATTTAGTCACTTATGAAGGGAACTGTTCTTGTTCAGGTTATGTATCTTTTTCATAGTTGGAGACCTAAAAATTGCAAAATAAGCATGGAGGTCTAAATTATGTATTTGTTACTTTATTCCATGTATTCAAATTAGTTACGAAAGGTTATTTTACGCTCACTACTGTTGTCCTTAGAAATCTTGCCCGGAGAAAATGTTTGCAAAAAAATCTTGTCTTTATCAGATTTTCATTTATTCTTTGTTCAGACATTTGTTGAGTAAAAATAAAAAATAGCCTTTTCTCCTCCTTCCCTAGGTGGGGGCAGGGAGGATGTGAAATGAGGTGATGTTTCTAGAGCAAACAATTGAAAATTAAATCTGCACTTTATGAAAATGAGTATGAACATCTTTTATGTCCCTCATTTTTTATATTACTATATCAGCTAATGATCAGAGTTAAGATTACAGATTTATGATGCAGAAATAAAATGGGAATGATACTCTGGAACAAAAGTTTTAGGCAGCTGAAGAATTGTGTTCTCTTTCTGTAATTGTCCCCAACTCTGAACAAAAGATAAAACCCTCTTATCAATGCAGATGTGCTGGCAGGGTTCTAGCAAGATGGAACATCTCCCTGCATGGAGCCTACTTCTCCCTCTGCCCGTGTCTCTGCCTCTGTTGTGAATAAATCTTAAAAAAAAAAAAAAAAAAAAAGATGTGTTGGAAAGTTAAGGGTGTCGGGCTCCATTCCTCCACCCCTGGCTTGCCCCCTATGCCCCTGCCCTCACCTTCTCCATCCCCCACTTCCTAGGGCTGGCACTTCAGCGTCTTCTCTTTTGAAAAGATGCCCTCACATTTCTACTGTCACCTGTTACTGGCTAAGTCTCCACCTGGGGCCTTGGTGTGTTGTGCTCTTTAATTTTTAGTGTCCACCCGTGGCTATACTGAGCCATCTGGTATAACTTTTTTTATTTTTAAAGATTTTATTTACTCATGAGAGAGAGGCAGAGATACGGGCAGAGAGAGAAGCAGGCCCCATGCAGGGAGCCCGATGTGGGACTCGATCCCAGGTCTCCAGGATCACGCCATGGGCTGAAGGGGGCGCTAAACCGCTGAGCCGCCCCCAGGCTGCCCCGGTACAACTTTTTTAAGTAGGCTCTATGCCCAGCATGGAGCCCAACGCGGGGCCTGAACTCACGAGCCTGAGATCCAGAGCTGAGCTGAAGTCAGCTTAACTGACTGAGCCATCCAGGTGCCCCTGGTAGAACTTTTTTTTTTTACTCATTTGTGTCCTTGGAGGCTGTTGTGAAACCCTTTTAACCAGAGTTGAAGAGAACCATCATCCTGGCTTCAGGAACACTGAAGAACAGATCTAACCCTAACCCTAACCCTTGAAGACCCGGGGCAGACTGTTGGAAACAATCCTCCAGATGTCTGGGCGCCTGCTCTGCCAGTGTCGAGGCACGGTGTTGTATCCTGAGGCTTCCCTGATGCACAAGACACACTTCCTGCTCTCAAGGCACTCAGTTTACGGGGGCTCGGGGACAACTGACAGGCTAGTCCACGGCGGTGTGGCAAGCGCTGGATACAGCAGGAGTGCTACAGGAGCACAAGAGGGGGCACCTAATTCAGTACTGTGAATCCCGGAAGGCTTCCTGGAGGGAGTGCTGCCCAAGTCAGAGCTGATGCATAAGCAAGAGTTAGCCTGGCAGGGAACAGCTGACAGGAAGATGCAGGAAGGAAAGACAGCGGAGATGAGGAACCAGTATTGGTCCAGAGTGAGGAAAAGGAGGGGCCAGAGATGAGTAAGGTAAGGGCTCTTGCCTGCCTGGCAAGGAATTTGGACCCGAATCCGATGCACAGGGAAGCCACTTGAGGCTTTTAGGTAGGTGCTTCTCTGAGCAGGCGTGGGCGTGGGCTGAGGAGCCAGAGGACATGACTACCACCAGCAGGGGATGCTGTCGGCCTGGGCGGGTTGTTAGCAGCGGCCCAGGGGGACCCCATCGGAGGGAGGAGTAAGGCTGACGCCAGCGATGGTGGGTGATGCTACGGTGTGAGTGGCACCGCCACTTCCTGAGGCCGGGAGGAAAGGACGGTGTCCGGCGGCTGAGTGGCGGAGGGCCCGGCGCAGCTGGACGGGCGCCCACGGCTCGGGGCAGCAAGGGCCAGCGCTGGGTCTGAGCACCCGGCAGCGTGGCGGCCCGGGGTCGGGGTGCGGCCGGAGGAGAGCAGAGCGGAAGGCGGGGTGGGAACGGTGAGGGGAGGCAGTCTTTGAAAAAGTTTGGCTCTCGAAGGATGTTTGCTTTCTCGGAGGCTGGTGACTCAAGGAGTTCAGGTGCTCGGGGAAGGAGGGGGGAGGCTGGAGCGAGAGGAGGTGCCCCAAGGTCCCAGGAGGGAGGGGCCCAGAGCCCAGGGCCCAGCTGCCCTCGCCAGGGGGCGGGTCTGCAGATCTGGTGCCAGGCGGTCCCGCGGGGCCCAGTAGTTCTGGTTTTCGGCACGAAGGAGGCAGGGTCTGGGGCAGTGAGGAGAGAGGAGGCGGTGGTGGCTGAGGGCAGGGGTTTAAGCAGCCCAACATGGTGGCAGCTGAGGAGGGAGAGGGCTGCTCTGGGGCTCCGGGGCCTTCAGTGCTCCCCAGCCGTTCCCTGGTCTGGGAACGTTTACCTGGAGGCTGGCCGTCAACAGAACACCTGGCCCTGGGCTCCGTGGACCCTCCTCCTTTATTTTTTCAAACATTCAACTCTCTTCGCCAAGTTTATTAGTCATTTCACAGTATCCTTCAGAGGCCGAAGAACACCCAGACATCAGCCCTCCCCCGGGCAGTCCCGCGGGGGCGGGTCACGCAGGACAGCGTCTCCGTTCTCTTCTCTCCTTCCACCCGGCCTTGAAACGGTTGTGGCCTGTGCAACTGTAAGCCAGCCTGTGGGCGCAGATGCCTCGGTTCCAGACCTCCGGCCGGCTTCTCGGAACCGACACCTCAAGCAGAGAGGAAGGTGTTCAAGCAGGAACCAAACAAACTCACCGAGCACGCATCCCTATACCCCTCTGTGATAGAAGAGCTCTGTGTCTTCTGTCGCAGACTGAATTTCCTTCTCAAGCTCACTGCACTGTATCTGAAAAAGTAAAATCCTTCATATTTATATTAAGAAATTTCTCGTCTTCAAAGCTTAGAGGAGAATTTCAGAAAAGCATCTCTTTCCTAGTCCCAACTTTTTCGGTGATAGATAGCAAAACATGTAACTTTTGGAGAACTCTGTTACGGAGAATTGCAAATATAAACGAACGCAGAAAGAACATAACGAACCCTCCTATGCCTCTGGATCCCCCTTGAATCAACAAGGCATTTTCAAGGTCCAGCAAATGCCAAGACTTCCTTGGGTGTTGGTGGGGAGAGGCTCAAGAGGGGAGATGGACTCCTTTTCCTGCCTCTTCTCTGGACTCTGAGAGTCCCGCCCCTTTAAGTCTTGCACAACCCACCCACTGCCTTCCAGAGTAGAGCCTGCTTCCTCAGTCTGGCCGTGCAGGCCCCGCCCTCTGGCCCCAAGCGTCTTGCCAGTCACACTCAGCCACAAGTGCCCAGCTACAGTGGACTCTTCAGCTTTCCCTTACCCCCACTTGGAATGCCCTCTTCTCTCCCCATCTCTGCCTGTTCAAATCCATCCATGTTCAAAGCCTACTTCTTCCATGCAGCCTTCCAGGATCCGCTGGCACCTCCTCTTTCCCTAATCTCCCCACAGCCTTTCAGTCATACTTACTTTCTAGCAGGCAACCCATTATTTCCGTATGTGACAAGTCACCCTTCCTGCAAAAGCCCGTGACAGACAGCCATGTGCCCCACCCACCTGCTCTCTTCTTCAGCAGCAGAATCTGAATAAAGACCTCATTTCCCAGCTTCCCTTGCAGCAAGGCTTGGCCACATGACTAAGTACTGGCCAATGTGACAGAAGCAGAAGTGCCACTTGGCCAAGTGGAATGAGAAAGGTGCCATCTTGCACCTCGAAGATGGTGCCCAAGCCTAGGGATGGTGGCATGCTGAGCTGGGAGGCATTAGACCCCTGGGGTCTCTATGATGCATAGCTGCCTTACTGCGCTGGCTACCTCGCCGTAGAGAGCAAAATGGAAGATCTCATGTCAAGCAGGAGCCTGTGTCAATCAAAGATGTAAGCAGTTAAAGGTATGAGGTATCGCAGGGACCACGATCAGCTGACCCCCCAGAACTGGTAACAAGTAGAAGCACAGGGCACCTGCAAGGGGCCCAAGACCAAATTCATCCATCCATCCATCCATCCATCCATCCATCCATCCATCCATCCATCCATCCATCCGAGAGACAGCACACACAGGTGTGACAGGAGGGGAAGGCCAGAGGCAGAGAATGAATCTTAAGCTGGCTCCATGCCCCGTGCAGCGTTGATCTCATGAGTCACGACTCTTAACCCACTGAGCCCCCAGGTGCCCCCCCCCCCAATTAAATCCCTTTCAAAAGGGAAAGATTTTTGCAGCAATTTGTCAGGCTCTTCAAACGTGACCTCCCTCTGAGCATTTTGGAAAGGCGGCTGCTGCCGAAGGCTCTGCCTGCTTGGCCTCCGAACGGAACTGAGAGCTGCTTGAACAGAAGCAGTAAGTGCTGAGAGCCGACCCGGCCAAGACTGAGGCCTCATCTCAACGGCGCGCCCACAGACTGACTTTGCGTTTGGTTCGTTAACTTCCTACACCCCCGTTAACCCTGCCTGTCCTGTGGCTTGCCTTCTGTCCCGTTCCGTGTGCTGTGTAAGAAGCCAAGTTTACTCGCGTGGTGAAATGTCAATGAGTTTGGAATCCCGAACCTGCTTTACAATTGTGATTACTTTGCTTTATGATTGAATAAAGCTGACACCGTGGAAAGACGCAACTTGTGTGTGCCCCTGCGTAGTGTGCCTATGACACTCATGCTTTATGTGAAGGAGAAATAAACTTCCCCCTTGTTGAGGGCACTGTTGCCTTGGATCGCGGTTACGACCAAATGTAATCCTAGTTAATACAGAGCCCTTCCTTCCCTGCACCCTGGCTACTGGCATCACACCTAAAACCAGACATGTGGGTGCCCCCGTGCGTCCCTTGGTCTTCATTTTCACCCCCAATCTGAATGCTCACAAGTTCTAACTTGTCCAATTCAAATATTTCTCTTACCGCCTACCATGGACTTACTCCAAACTGCCCATCACCTCCAGCCATAGTACTTCTACAACCCCCTACACGTCCTCCCACCTACAGCATGGCACCCAAAGAGTGCTATTTCTAAAATACAACCTAAGCCACTCCTGTGCCATTTTTTAGAAAAATTTATTTATTTGAGGGCAGCCCTGGTGGCCCAGCGGTTTAGCGCCACCTTCAGCCCAAGGCCTGATTCTGGGGACCCGGGATCGAATCCTGCGTCAGGCTCCTTGCATGGAGCCTGCTTCTCCTTCTGCCTCTCTCTCTGTGTCTGTCATGAATAAATAAATAAAATATTTTTAAAAAATTTATTTATTTGAGAGAAAGTGAGAGAGAGAGAGGAGCAAGGAGAGAGGGAAAGGCTCCCTCTTTAGCAGTGAGTCTGCACAGGGCTCGATATGGGGACTCCAGGATCACTACCTGAACCAAAGGCAGACGCTCAATCGACTGAGCCACCAGGCGTCCTAGGCAGATTCTTTAAATGTAGAAATATGAAAATTTTACATTCTGAGCAGGGAGTTTGAACTTTTCCTTGCCAGACAGTAAATATTTGAGGCTTGTAGGCCATAGGATCTCTGTCCCAACCACCCAACTGCCAGAGTCAGTGCATATGTAAATGAACATGTAAGTACATAACTTAAAAAACACAGACAGCTGATCCATGGTTATAGCTTCCTGACACCTGTTTTAAGTAATTCCTTTTTTTCACTTTTACCACAGACTCTGTCTCTCTTATTTTTTTTTTAAGATATATTTGAGAGAGAGAGAGAAGGAGCAGGGGGAGAAGGAAAAGCAGACTCCCTGCTCAGCAGGGAGCCCCATATAGGGCTTGATCCCAGGACCCTGAGATCATGATCTGAGCTTAAGGCAGATGCTTAACCGACTGAGCCACCCAGGTGCCCCATGCCACTCCCTCCTTGAAACATCTCCCTCAAAAAAAATAAATAAATAAAAAATAAATAAAATAAAATAAAATAAAATGAAATAAGCATCTCCCTCATTGTCTCCATATAAAGTTCTATCACCGTGGGGGGCATGGGAGGCCCTTCACCCGCTGGCCCAGCTACTCCATAGCTGAATAACCTACAGGGGAACTTCATGTTTCTCCCGAGCCCCAGGTTCCTCACCTATAAAATGAGAATACAAACTACCTTGAAAAGTTATCTTGAAGACAAGACACTAACTGTGTGGCACAGTCCCCAGGACACAGAAGGTGATGGATAAACCAGAAGTCACACTTGTTAAGGGTGGGAACACCCTGCAGCCTCTTCTCTCTCACACACAACCCATCTGGGTCCAGGGAGCTCGGGATGGACCACACCAGAGCACATCTCCCTGCTTTTGTACCAGCTGTGCCCTCTGCCCACGCTGCCTTTCCCCAGCGTGTCCCCTGCCACTGTCCCCAGCCCCTGACCATTGACGCTGCCTCTGTCATGTCCATACCGTCCCGTCTGTGTCTATGTTCCCCTGCAATCCCACTGCGTCTGCAGCCACCTGTGTGGGGAAGTCTCCCTCACAGGCCCGAGGACCCAAACACATCCACTCGGCCCTGTAACTTTAAGTCTGGTGGCCGCCTGACTCGAGAAGGCCAGTGAGAATGGCAGTGGTAAAGGGGGAGAGGGTTGCTCTGACCCCTGACAGGCTGTCCTGGATCTAGGCTTTCCTTAAGAAGGGTGACCTCGTGCCCCAGAGGCCCCAGCCATAGAAAGCAGCCCCTAGCCAAGGACCGAAATGGTATCACAGTAAGGAACCAAGTTACTCCTAACACTGGAAAAATGTATCCCAGGACCCAAGATGACATGGACGAGACAAACTAGAAAGGCTTGATTATCTGACAAAAACTCATTGGTTCTAGATTCTGACTCCCCTATGCCAGCAAAGGGAGCTCTGCGAAAGATTCTCCCCTTGGACTTCTTAAAGCACACCACCCCCCACCCTCAGCCAGGTCAGGATTCCTGGGCTCTGTGGCTCCTCGTCCCCCTATTTCCTCAAATCAAAGCCCGTGGTAGCCACACATCATTGCTTTTTCTTAGCTAGTCAAGGGCAAGACCCCATTTACTCTGGGCTGACCCCAGCACCAAGCTGCCGGTGTGTCAGGGGAGGCCCTCTGTAAGTGTTTGCAAGACAGAACACAAGACCCCCCGGGAAAATCAGACCAAGGCAGCAGGATGTCCCCCAAGATTTAAAGACTTCTGCAAATGACCTAAGCCATCTGCTTCACTCGGAGTACCAACGCAATCCGAAGTAATTATTTACAAAGGATTCACTTTTATTGCAATCTTATTTTGACGAGCCATGGTCTAATGGGTGGGCCTGTGAAAATTAAAAATATCTTCTAACGGGACATCTCAGTGGTTAGGTGTCTGCCTTTGGCTCAGGTCATGATTCCGGGGTCCTGGGATCAAGTCCTACACTGGGCTCCCCACAGGGAGCCTGCTTCTCCCTCTGCCCGTGTCTCTGCCTCTCTCTCTGTATATCTCTTGAATAAATAAACAAAAAAATCTTTAGAAGAAAACCTTCTAACATTTTATTTTAGTGAGAAGCTGCTCATCCCATCCTGTCATTTATCACCCTTAGAGCCGTACCGCAATGATCTAAGATGACTTAAAGTTTCTCTGTTATGTGCCGGCAAAGTCACCTGAATTAATGATTCTGTGAACCTACAATTAATGTAATTTGGGTTTTGAACAAGCTCATTCCATAAATTTAAATACTTTTGAAGACATCATTGATTTTTAACTTCAGTGACGGAAACAAGCATTTGAAATTTTCAGCGAAGAAATGCCAGAGACCAGTAATGTCTATTATATCAACAATGTCGCTGATAGCAGCAACAGCCCTCTGAGAAATACTGCTATCTTCAATTCTCTTAAACAGATATGGAAACAATCTCAGAAAATTTAAGCAACTTGATCAAGGTCATAGAGGAGCTGGGAATTTGAATCCAGGTAGTTGGACTCATCATGAATTATAATATATCCTGGGCTACAGAACTGCACTAATACAACAGCCACCAGCTGCACGTAAGTTCATAACTTAAAACTAAACAAAAATAAGCATTCAGTGCCTTAGTCACAGTCGCCACCCTGTAAGTGCTCAGTAGCCATACACGGAGAGTGGCTGCTGTATTAGCACAGATATAAAACATTTTCATCGCTGCAGAAAGTCCCATCGGATGGGGCATCACCATGGAATATTATGAGGTATTAAAAATATCTCAAAGGTTTTTTTAAATGTCCCAGAAAAATGCTTCTGATATACTGCTAAGACAAAAAGAATCCCAAATTGCACAAGTGATCTGGGGTTGGGATTAAATAATGTTATTTTTACACTTTTGTAAACTTTGCAGATATTTTAGAATTCTTTATCTTACTCTTATAACGAGGAAAAGAAAAAGTTTTTTTTTTGAGAAAAATTTGAATAGAGGGCACTTACCCGTTCAATTTGTGGGAATATACTAAAAGAAACTGGCACCATCAATCCCATTACTAAAACAGTACAGGCCAGCTTGAAGGTCCACAATGACCATGGATGTTGCCGGAAGAACTGGGTCCTGTAAGAGACAAGGTTACAAGGCTTTTTTTTAGAGGCTGGCCCTCGGCTCTGATGTCTCGTGTGTAGCCAGCCGCTGGCCCATGGTTTGGTCCCCACTCCCCAGCAAACACGCAAGACCAGCAGGCATGCTGACGGAGCTCACTGTGCGTCAGGCCTGGGGTAAGCACTTCATGGGCGCTGCCCATTTGATCCCGAGCAACCCTGAGGTTGTGTTATCATCGGCCCTTTCACACAAATGAGGACACAGCCACTGACTGGCTGGCTAAGTCACTTGTCCAAAATCCCACAGCTCAAAAGTGAGAGGCCCGACTCTAGATGCTGGTCTCCACTGACACGGTCGGGACATTCTGACCCTGACCTCTGAGGGTGTCAGAAACAGTGCGGGAGGATGCGAAGAACCTCAGCCTGGGAGCCCCAGGTCCTGAGTCCGGCCGGTGTCTGCCATGGAGAAGCCCGAGGTGGTCTCAAGCAAGTCACTTCCTGAGCCTTGGGTTTTTTTCATAGGAAGAATGAAAGGGCTGAGCCAGAAGAGCCACTAAGGTCACTCTGGCTTGGATATTACTGTGGCTGCAGAGGCCAGGGGGAAATGAGCGCCATCTCTCCTCCCAGCTGGTGCCACTATGTGGGCTTTAAGGGACAGGTAGGGGCTGCAGCTTTCATGGGAGCCCCAGCTCTGACCCAGCCAGAGTGCTCTAGAAAGAGTCTGGGCCAGCAGAAGTCTCCACCCCCACCCAGCCGATGGACCACGGGAAGTAACACTTGGCTCGAAGCCGCATGCTGCTACTTCTTGAAAATATGCTGTTCCGTGGTCCTAACAAAGGCTTCCTAGCTCGCCACGCTGGACAGAGGCGACTGGTTCAGGTGACCTCATTTGGCCAACCAAACCCTTCCCTGGGAGTTTGTAAACTGAGTGGAAGACATTCTCTGCCTTCCCTGGGGGTTGCTGTTTTTAGTCCCTCGTCAGGACTCTTTGAGGACATGAGCCGGGAGGTGTTGGCAGGCACATCCCTCATCAACACGAAGGAGCCAATGTATGGCAGGACAGGAGGAAGCTGATACTATGAGGAGGAGGAGTAGAGCTTCTGCTCAGCTGCCATAGGCTACGCCCCTGCCCGGACCCAGGATCTAAAGCAACACGTCTGCCTTCTGGCTGAAGCTCCTGCATGCTGGGCTTCTCACACTGGCTGGTCCCCAGGCCTTCCTCCTAATAGGCCATTTTTTGCTTCTCCAAAGAGATGACCGTCCACTGAATCTGAGTCCCTTAGGCTGACTTAGCACGTTTGCCATAAAGGAAGAAGACAGGCCGGAGCAATACTCACAGCACAACAGCTTGGAAAACCTGCAGATCAGCTCAACTCAGCGTTCAAGACCTGAGGGGCTGTACCTCAGCAGGTGCTGGGACATGCCTCAGAACACAAAGCTAACTGAGGAGGGGGCCTGGGCGAGAGTCCAGGGTTAAGGAATGTGCACCTCTGGATTTCCACACCTGCCCCTAATCAGTCCTACTGTCTCAGCTTCGATGAAGAGAGATTAAGAAGATGACTGAACCAACTTCTTCCCATCCCTCCCACCAGGTTCAGTGTTTGACACTCAAGGATCTTGAGGGTTGAATGTTTATTCCTACCCGGGGAGCTGAGTATGCTTCTTACCTTACAAAATAGTGTGAGAAGACTTCAGGAATAAAAGCTGAGGTCCCATACAGCACTACCCTGGATGATGCTGTATCTCTAACGGCCTGGCGGAAATGGAAAGGAAGCATCTTAGCACATGGAGTGAGACTATTTCTGGGGATCCTGCAACTCAAGACAGAGATAAGCAAACAGCAGCTCTCCTCTCTCTCACTTAGAAAAATACTGTGCGTGGAGAGAGGCGGAGAGAGGCTGTGGCCCTCTCGTGCACATGGCTGGAGGATGGCTGGGGTTGGTGCTAGGAGTAACTAGAGATGGGATTTACCTCCCAGCAACTTCACTATTGTCTCCCCATCAGTCCGCTAACCACCCAAATAAAATACTAAGTACCAACAAAGGCAGCTTATAGAAAAATCATCTCCTAGAACCAAAGGGTAGTCCCCTCAGTGGAAATGCTGGATTTGCCACTGAGGACTGCTGCCACTGGCCTCCCGATCCTGAGCAGCACCCCAGCTACTTCCACCCTTTCCAGTGAGGAACCTTCCAGAAGTCTAGCTCAGAGGGCACTGGCATAGCATCATACCCACATGGGCCACGCACGAATCCACCTGCATGCACCCGCCTTTCGCTTGTGTAATTGAGTGTGCTATAAAGTCTCACTTTGCACATACATAGTTTATAACATTTTGTCATCTTTCCTATAATGCACTCTACATATCGAACATTTAAACATGCCATCGTATGGGTTACATGCACAAAGTCACACGTACTCAAGGGCAATGTAAGAGAGAGACTCTCAAAAGGGAATTCTGACCACAGGTGACACTCGCATGCTAACTACAGAAGCCAACTCCTGCTAAGATACAACGCCCCATACAGCACTGCCCTGCACAAGATGGATAGGCACACACCCCACCACCCCCTTCCAACCACGTCTCTTCCACTCCTGGCTTCAGGATGTGACTACAGCCCGCCTTCTGGGCTCCTCTCTCTTGCTCTCAAGTGCTTCTTACACTGACGCTTACTCATCTGATTCCTCTGTGGGGAACGCCTTTCCCCGACAAGGACAAAAGGACAAGGAGGGTGGCTCTTCAAACATACACTTTCAGGGGGCACCTGGGTGGCTCAGTCAGTTAAGCATCTGCCTTCGGCTTGGGTCGTGGTCTCGGGGTCCTGGGATCTAGCCCCACATCAGGGAGTCTGCTTCTCCCTTTCCCTCTGCCCCTCCCTCCTCCTTATGCTGCTCTCTTGTTCTTGCTCTCACTCCTAAGTAAATAAAATCTTTAAAATAGGAAAATAAATAAACTTTCAGGAATATAAAATAAAACTGCTCCGCTTCAGGAAAAGTGGCTGCTGAGGGTGATGCGTTTCGACGTCAGTGGGGCAATGCCCCCCCTCAGTCCGCCTGTGTGCCTGAGTCGCAGGGGAAGACACTGCGAACCCGACACCCATCTTGAGGGGCACCGGGACACATGTCACAGTTCACAGCTGAACGGCTTCCAAGGCCAGTCAAGGGAAAACAGCATGGATTGGCCCCTGAAATCCGATCAAAGGTGCCCTATTACAATCAGATATTGCTAGTTGCGTAGTTTCTGAAATTTTAGCCAAAGACAATCAACGTTTTGGTGACAGGGAAATGATGAAAGAATGCTTATGCTTACGCACAGTGGCAGACTCTATTCTTAAGAGGAAGATAAACTTTAAAAAAAAAAAAAAAAGCAGACCATCAAGTCTTTCTTTTACTCTAAATCAGCCTTCATGCAAAAAATGAAGTTCCTCCTGGAGAGGCGGACTAGATACCCAGACAGCTGGCGGGGCCTGAGGCTGCCTCTCCTGGGAGGCTGAGCACTCCCAGCTCCCGGACAGAAGGAGTCTGTGGCCGAGAGCGTGGCCAAGCGGAGCAGAGCGTAGCACCACACCTGGCGGGCACGCAGGCTAAGCGCACCGGCTCTCACTCTTCTCTTCAGCTGTGGGAACAGTTCACAGCAGCCCTAATGCCTGGCAGGTAAAAGACCTGAAGAGAAATGCAGGGCAGCCGGGTGGCTCAGCGGTCTGGCGCCGCCTTCAGCCCAAGGTGTGATCCTGGAGACCCAGAATCGAGTCCCATGTCAGGCTCCCAGCATGGAGCCTGCTTGTGTCTCTGCCTCTCTCTCAAATAAATAAAATCTTAAAAAAGAGAGAGAGAGAGAGAAATGCAAATAGATGTCCACCTAAAGACTTGCACAGGTTCAGGGAACCCTGGGTGGCGCAGCGGTTTAGTGCCTGCCTTTAGCCCAGGGCACGATCCTGGAGACCCGGGATCGAATCCCACGTCGGGATCCCGGTGCATGGAGCCTGCTTCTCCCTCTGCCTATGTCTCTCTCTCTCTATCATAAATAAATAAAAATTAAAAAAAATTTTCTTAAAAAAAAAAAAAAAGACTTGCACAGGTTCAGAGCAGCATTATGCAGACTTGCCCCAGACTGGACACGGTCCAGATGCCCACTGCCTGGGGGAAGGGATATGCAGATGTGTTGGTACATCCATAGGATACAATGCTGCCCGGCAGTAAAAAGCAACAAACTGTTAGTAGGTACACGGTACAGGTGGATGAAGCTCGAAAGTCAAAGAAGTCAGACCCAAGAAGCACTTGTAGGAGTTACTAATGTGAAATTTCTGAAAAGTCAAAATTATGAAGGCATAAAGCAGATCGGTGTTTCTCTGGGGCCAGGGATGGGAGAAGGGAGTGATTCAATGGGCATAAGGGAAATTTTTAGGACGAAAATGTTCTAAATTTGGTCATTTTGGTGGTGGTGATAGCTGTGCAACTGCTTACATTTACATTTCATCAAACTACACTCTCACAACAGGTGAATTTTATAGTATGTAAATTATATCTCAATAAAGCTATTAAAAAAGTCTCATTAGGGTGGCTCTTGGGCACAAAATTTTTATTTCAAAAATGAGGTATTTTATTTCTGGCAGCCAGTTCTCCCCTTGTTCCCTGTGATTACTGAGTCTCTGCTGTAATTCCTTTAGAAAGGTGGCCATTATTTTCAGACATGCCACGAAATGGTCGGGCAGGAATCTGATGGCACGTATCTGATGGTTTATAATTCAGCTCTGTGACTCATGGATAGGGTTTAGAGGAGTGCTTTGTGAGCTGAACAATGATGTATTTACTGACCGAACGAGCAGCCATCTTTTCTGACCTCCTCTTCTGCTAACACACGGGACAGGAGGATGTCCTGACAGTAGTCCGCTCGGACGCACACACCATACGAAACTGTTCCCTTCACTTTGAATCGGGCTGTTCTCTGCTGTTCCTCATGCCACTTGCACACAACTGTCTCACATTGCATTCTTTAGCTAATGTCACTTCATGGAAGTCATTAAAAAAAACCTCACCTGCTGAAAAAGTATTTTTTAAAAAGTTCACACCCAAAATAAGACCCCTCTAGGCCATTCCAGTTTCTTCGACCTGAATGTACACAGAAGCCACTGTGCTGCATGGATCAAAAGAATAAACTATTTAATAATAAACCTTATTAAAAATTGAGGCCTTTTAGAGGAGTTCTGGTCAGAGCACTAGATTTCCTCAAGCAATTTTTTTTTAAGGATTTTTATTTATTTATTTGAGAGAGAGAGACAGAGAGCAGAGAGCACAAGCAGGGAGGGGGGAGAGGTGCAGAGGGAGGAGAAGCAGACTCCCCTTGCTGAGCAGGGTCAGGGTTCGATCCCAGGACCCTAGGATCATGACCTGAGCCAAAGGCAGACACTTAACCAATGAGCCACCCAGGTGCCCCTCCTCAGGCCATTCTCTATAGCAAACTGGTCCTCCAAGATGAAGACTAAGAAAATTGTTGTGAGGTGGAGAAGAAATGCTTCTCTTAAACCCAGAGAGGGAATCTGCTGACTTCCACAAGTACAGAGCAGCCTGCATGGTGGATGCTGAACTAGAAACTCCAGGTCTCACCCTCAGAGAGCGGCCATGGGTTTGGCAGAGGCCTATCCATGGTGGTCTGTCACACACATCAACCTGGCTAGGCTAGAGCACCCAGGAATTTAATCAAACCCTAACTGATGTGCTGCCGCCTAGATGCGGTTAACATCTACAATCATTTAACTTTATTTATTTTTATTTTTATTTATTTATTTATTTTAAAGATTTTATTTATTTATTCATAGAGACACACAGAGAGAGAGAGGCAGAGACATAGGCAGAGGGAGAAGCAGGCTCCATGCAGAGAGCCTGACGTGGGACTCGATCCCGGGTCTCCAGGATCACGCCCTGGGCTGCAGGCGGCGCCAAACTGCTGCGCCACCAGGGCTGCCCCAATCATTTAACTTTAGATAAGATTACCTTCCATAGTGTGAATGGGCCTTGTTCAAACAGCTGGAAAGCCCTGAGAGCAAAATCTATAAGGTTTTCCAAAAAGAAGAAATTTTGCCTGAAGACCATGGCATGGGCTCCTGAGTTTCGAGCCTGCCTGTGAGCGCTACAATTGCATGAGCCAATTACAATCAACCAACCAATCAATCAATATCCTATTGGTTCTGTTTCTCTGGAGAACCCAGACTAATGCACCATCTTTCAAACACTGTGGTGCAAAAAAACCAAAACCAAACAAACACTGTGGGGAAAAATGTAAAACTACTCCCCTTCACATGAGGGAAAACCAGATAAGGAAAAGTTGAAGGGAAAAAGGATTTTATTCCCGGCTCTCAAACTGAAAACTCCATGCTCCACCCAAAAGGCAAGCCAGCTAGGACTCCATAGTGTCCCCTACCTTTGTCCCGGCTTTTCTGGAATAGCCCATGACATGGCCTTCCTTGTCCATGACTTCAATCCCTCGAATGGGCTCAAGACTTCGGACTGCAACAACATTCACTGCACTGATGTGGGCTGTGGGTGTGAAGAAGAAAATGCACAACAGCGGGTGAGTTGGGTCCAGCAAAGGAACGTCTTTTCTCGTGTCAAACCTCTTTCTCTGATGGCTTCATTTCCCCAATCCTCAGGTAGTCACCTGGCATGCTCTGGCTAGCCAAGCTCTGTCGTGGGGGCTGTGGAGCTGGGTCTGAACTGCTGGCCTCCCGTTCTGGGAATCTGCCCACAACCTGGCACCAGGTTCCAGCAGCCCTGAAAGTCCAGTCCAGCCCCCGGACAGGATTCCAGGACAAGTCCTTGGGTCCTTGAACTACACGTGCCAGGTACTTCCATAGGATACAATGCTGCCCGGCAGTAAAAAGCAACAAACTATTAGTAGGTACATGGTACAGGTGGATGAACCTCAAAAGTGAAAGGTCTGGCCAGGTTTCTATAACATTTTCCCATATTTTACCACTGATATCATTCTGACAACTCTCAAACTGTTAGGATTTTCAAACTCAAATTTGGAGTGTGAACCAGTGAGCTTGCGGGCTGGCAAACTTAAAACAGGTAGGCTAAGATCTCTGCCTTCCCGACTTCCACTGGAGTCAGCCCATCAGGCTGGAATTCCCCCATGCTGCCACCCCGTCTGTGTATGACCCTTGGGCAGTTGCCTAAAGTCCTGCCTCAGCCTCTTCATCTGTAAGTGGAATAACATTGCCACCCACACATCTTGTCAGGAGTAAGTGAAATAATGCGTGCAGAGGGCTTGCACAGATGCAATTTGTGTCCCTGGGTTTGTGTTCATTCCTTGACAGTGGGAAGCATAGCTACAGAGCAAGGGCCACCTCTCAACCCAAGGACCTAATTTGGGCCCAGAGGCCCCAGGAAGCTGCAAAACAGCAGCGGTCATTCGTCACCATGGGGCAAGGGACGTGGCTGCCCCTGAAGATGTAGGAAGGCTCAGAGACCACAAGGTTACATGCTTCCTGCTTACTGAGAAAGATGATGGGAAGGGCTCTTTTCAACAAAGCGTTATTCAGCCGCAGCTGGAGCAGACGGGGGAATAGCTAGAAAAATAAGAGAAAAAAATCATTATTGCACGGGACCAGAAAATCGGCTCAACATACACAATAGCACAGGTCAGGCCATGGCAAGTGCTGTCCGTGTATTTTTTAATTCTTGCAAAGTTGGAAGTGTTCTCCCAATCATCAGAGGAACACGTGGTGGCTTAGGGAGGTAACTTGTCCAGAGTCTCTGAGCCCGTAAGAATCTGAGGCAGGATGCCAATGCAGGTTTATCTGACTCTGATGTCTATATTTTTAACTATCACAGTGTCCTGACATCCAAAGCAACACAAAATTTGTATAACACATTTATGTAGCATAAGTAATTTTTTAAAAAAAGTTAAAGAGTACTGAGTATATGCCTAAAAATCTGGGAAATGCTTATTATGCACAAATGCATAATATGCATGTGCTTATATGGAGATGCTTATTTAGGGGGTGACAGGATTACAAGTGACCACTTCCTTTCTTATGTCTTAGCCACACTTTCTAAATTGTTTACATAGAAACAAATCTGTAATTCAGAATAGTTTTTATTGTTCTGAAGAAAGAAAAAGATTTTACAGATTTTTAAAATACCCACTCCAAAAAAGGATGAAGAGGCAATCACTCCTGTCCCTAGCAGTAGACTCTCGTATAGGTGACGATTCTAAGGAAGAATCAAAAGTAGGTATATTTAGCAAATACCACAGTTTTACCCAGGAAGGATAATTAAAACATGCAAACAAAAAACCCCAAAGAAATCACACAGGATTACATATCCTCTCAGCCTCATAATACTCACATAACTTGCGTTTCCATTGACAATGTTGAACGCTGTAGTGTAGGTATAGAAGGAAACCTGCAGAAAGATAGAGGCACACAGATCACACACTAGGATCATTCGGGCACAACAGAATTCAGTCATCATGACACAGAAATAGTTTTTACCTGAGGTAAAATCAGGGACTTCAGACTTTTTACTGACAGCATGGAGAAAAATATCTGTAAAGAAAATAAAGAAAATATCTTTTAAGTGTTTAGAGGGAAGAGGGAGCTTGCCAGGGTAAAGAACTTCCCAGGGAAGATGCTGCGCTGAGCCTACCACCCACCACCCCCAGAAGCTGGGATGAGGCTACCAGGCAGGCGATGGGTGAGCGATGCTCAGGGAACACCGACAGAACACTGGGGACACCTGGGGACACCCGGGAGTGGTCCCTGCCTCCAGGACATACGATGTACCAGGGCAGGGCGGCTGAGGAGTATGTACTCCCAAGTGCATCTTCCTAAACCTGGGGTCTCATAAAGGCAGCTGACTCACCATGGGTGCTGTGAACGGTAGGAGAGCTGGCAATAAAGAAAAGGGGGTTAGTGGCTGCCGCTGCCCAGGCCGAGAGGGGATGAGGGGGGAGGCCCAGAGGGGCACCAGCCCCCTGCGAACCTCCCCTCAGGCACCCTGAAGGCACAGACACCGCAGGACAGTGTTTACTCATTTTTTATTTTTCCTAATAATAACTACGTGCATATGGCAAGCATTTCAGTTAGCGCAGCCCAGAGAGACCGAACGAGGCCAACCCCCTGGGAAGGCCCACTTAGAAGGCAAGCGGCCTTAACCTGTTCCTCCTTCCACATGAACTTAGCACATCCGTGATACTGTCATTTATAAGAAGAAACTGGATTTGCTCTTCGTCCCTGTTCCTAGCACAGAGATCCTAAAACCTTTGGAATTTCCTGAGAACAGCAGTAAAAAAGGTGAAATGGGGGTCTTTTTTTTTAACCCTAACCAGCCCCTTCCACCTCACCTGAGTTTATGTTAACAAGGGGATGTAGGGAAAGCCCCTAGGGAGGGGGCTGGTTGCCAGGGGAACACCCAGGTGACCTGTCAGCCCTACCTGCTACCTCTATCTCCAGGGACAAGGAAAGGGGCTGGAGGCAGGGCTAATCACAATGCCAAGGATTTTAGTCAACCATACTAGTAGAGCCACAGGTTCACACTGTTTCTGGGCTGCTGAGCATGCAGCCAGGTGGTGGCCTGGAGAGGGTGTGGAACCCCCCCCCCCCCGCCCACCTTGCTCTCTGCATCTCTTCCATCTGTTCACTTTTATAATAAACTGGAAACCTAGTAAGTAAACTGTCTTCCTGAGTTCTGTGAGCCATTCTAGCAATTTCAAACCTAAAGAGGGAGTTGTGGGAATCTCCAATTTATAGCAGGTTGGTCAGAAGGACAGGTGAGAATCTGGACTTTCAATTGGCATCTGAGGTAGGGGGGTGGTCTTGTGGGCCTGAGCCCTTAACTCGTGGGGTCTGTTGCTGTCTCCAGGTTGATAGTGTCAGAACTGAGTTTGTGAAGGCTGAGAAAAATTAAGGCCATCCCACCTCAAGTTTAGCATTAGCACAGGTACAGCCATCTTAGGTCCCTGGGAGTAAGAGCTGAACTTTACAGGAAAAACTGAAGATTGTCCTAGGCAGGTAATCCCATATCAGAAAGACAATAAAGCTCAGAATGCCCTCGGCAGAGAATTCCATATCAGATCTTAAGAAACTCCCCCACCCTTTTCCCCATATTGGAATGGAAAAAAATTCCTCCACCCCTTCTGAAGATTCCCTAGACCAGCCCATAAAAAACCCAGCTGTAACCCACTTCGGGGTCCAAGTCCCTGATCTGCTGTTTGGAGTACACTTAGACCCAAGCTCGAGTTTGTAAATAAACCCTCATGTACTTGCATCAATGTCGGCCCCTTGGTGGTTTCTCGGATTTGCAATCTTGGGCACAACAAATTAAAACTGTAGGATAAGGATCCCTGGGTGGCTCAGCGATTTAGTGCCTGCCTTCAGCCTATGGCGTGATCCTGGAGTCCCAGGATTGAGTCCCACATCAGGCTCCCTGCATGGAGCCTGCTTCTCCCTCTGCCTGTGTCTCTGCCTCTCTCTCTCTGTTTCTCATTAATAAATAAATAAATCTTAAACAAACAAACAAACAAACAAAAAAAAAAAACACTGTAGGAACCTGGCTGTTGGCTGTTGCCACAGAACTGAAAGGTATAGGAAAAGCCTGCACATCTGATGTCAGGAGTAAAGCATCAGGGGCACCTGGTTGCCTCAGTTGGGAGTGCACACAACTCTTGATCTGGGGATTGTGAGTTTCAGCCCCACGTTGGGTGTAGAGATGACTAAAAACAATAAATAAACTTAAAAAAAAATGCCAACTCATGTATGTGGGCTTAAAAAAAAAGTGAAGGTTGAGAGGAGAAACAAGTATTTTTCCATCGTGATGTCTATCAAGATAGATGCAAACTCCCACATTCTCTTATCCTTGCAGTACTTATTTATACAAATAGGATCACTATATACTGTTTTATACTTTGCCTTTTTTTCCCCTTAATACTAGTTCCTGAAGATTCATCCTTCTACATTAGTGTATAGGATTTACTTCATTCTTTTTTATTTTTTTTTTAATTTACTTATGATAGTCATACAGAGAGAGAGAGAGAGAGGCAGAGACATAGGCAGAGGGAGAAGCAGGCTCCATGCACCGGGAGCCTGACGTGGGATTCGATCCTGGGTCTCCAGGATCGCGCTCTGGGCCAAAGGCAGGCGCCAAACCGCTGCGCCACCCAGAGATCCCCTACTTCATTCTTTTTAATGAATTATTTAACTATAGTCTGAATTGCTGAATATTCACATTGTTTTCAGTTTCTTGTTTCTAAGAGAGAGAATTTTATAGTTAAAAAGGCCCTGTACAATCATGGGTTTTATTCCCCTCCTCACAGTTAAGAGAGAGAGAAGACTACATGGAATCCAAAACACTTATGAGTTATAAGTTCTGGAACCATCAATGGAATGACTGGTTGTGTTCCTTGGGGAATGACAGAGCAAAGCAGGCTGCAGACCCAGGCCTGTGCCCTCATCACCCCCAGCCCCCAGATCTTTCCACAGGACTGAACACAGCTCTGATCCCAAACCTGCTCTACTCCTCTACCAACCCCAGACTCTTCAAGCATCCTTTTTAAGCTGTGGTTTCCAGACTCACTGTCAGAAATCCTTCTAGGAAAAATAAATAAATAGATAAATAATAAGGCAGGCCAGGCTCTTTTAACTGTACAAATCATGTTTGCCCAACCCACTTCCAAAAATTAGAATCAGCTCACCTGCAGGTCGAAAGAGAACAGGGATCAGTTTGCTGCTGTCAGGATGCACTGTTGACTTCACAAGGGTAAACACAACAGTTAGTCTGGTGTTTGGTTTTGTTTCCATAGGAAGCTAAAAATTAGGAAGGGACTGAAACTTACGAGACTTCTCTTCCAGGCTTCTTTTATCTAAAAAGAGAAAAAACAAGCAACAGCTTTGAAAGGCAAATTGGCAGCAAAGAAGAAAAAAAAAAACTCAAGTCTCATTTCTGGGGCCACCTTTACTCTGCCTTTTCAAGAGTGAAGGCCAGAATGGTTCCATGCCACATGACTGGAACAAATAAAAATAAATGAATCAAACAAACAAAAGAACAATAAGCAATGAGATGATCCACAGAAAGAAAATGACCACAACATTAAAAAGTCCTCAGTATCAGGACACCTGGATGGCTCAGCGGTTGAGCATCTGCCTTTGGCTCAGGTTGTGATCCTGGGGTCCTGGGATCGAGTCCCACATCAGGCTCCCTACAGGGAGCCTGCCTTTCCTTCTGCCTGTGTCTCTGTGTCTCTTATGAATAAATAAATAAAATCTTTTTTAAAAATAAAAATAAAAGGTCCTCAGTGTCTCACCTTGGAGAGGACTCATGGCCAACACCTAACTTATCCCTCAGGTGAGTCCCTGAATCCAGCCTGCCCCTGGCTCAGAGAAGAGCAGGCTGTTTGCAGGGGACGCACCATGCCATTGGCCAAGGCACCTGCCTCAGAGCCAGGCTGTGAGCCCAGAAGCCCCACCAAGTTCTTAAAAATAAATAAATAAAAATAAATAAATATGTGAGCTTTCCACAGGCTACCTCACAGGACTGATGTTTGTGGGCTCTGGAAAGCCCCATACACCACAAGACAGATAACAAATACTTGGTTTAATTCTTTGGGCAGGAATATAGCCCTGACCCGAAACAGTACCTCTAATGAGAAATAGATTCCGACTTCAGAGGCCCACCTGAATTCTGGAGTTTGCCATGGGGCTCCAGGGATCAGCCACAGAGAATCCCCACTAATAATCTGAGCATAGGACCTATGATTTTTTTTCTCCTTAACAGTAGTTCTTCCTACTAATAATCTGGTTTATGAGAATGGATTCTAATTACATCTAAAAAAAAAAAAAAAAAACAAAACCAAAAAAACAACCTAACCCAGTTTTGGAAAGCAGATCCCCTGGGCAGTATCTCCCATGACAAAACTCCACCTGATTTCAGACCATGAAAGCAAAATCCTGAAAGCAACCACATCCAACCTTGAACCAAGCATAGGAGACATACCCTTGGGTCCTCCAAGTCACGGATGGATGCATCTTCATTTGTTAACAATAGTTGCCTTGATTTTTCTATTTTTTCCTATAATCAGAGAGAAAGAAATCGAGCAATGATCTCAACCTTCTTTTTGTCCACAGATTTAGGAATCACATGCTCATGCACACCTGATTTTAGTGCAACATGTAGCCTAGGCTCTCTACTCCCTGCGTTTCCAAGAGGATAGTCCTGTGTGTCACTGGGATTCCGAGCTCAGGCAGCTCAACCCGCTGGTGGCTCCCCTCCCCCTCCCCCCAGACAGCTGTTGTCAGCTGTCTCTGTGAGCGCTACCGCCAGCCGCCTGGCTTTAAAAGTTAGAAACCTGGAAGTCCCTTCTCTCTCTCACTCCCACATCTGATCGGTTCAGGCTTACTTCCTCTCTTCATTTTTTTCTTAATTTGAGAAAAGAGAATTAAATACAGAAAATACAAAGAAATGAGTACATATGCACAATCCCCTCACCCAGAATTAATAACTGTAAACATTCAGTTATATTTGCTTCCAATTTTTTTTTCCCAAAAAGCCATCATCCCCAGTTTCATGTCTCCCCATTCTCTGAGATAACCACTAATATGAGTTCAAGGTATTAACTTCCAGCCCACTTTTTTTTATTTTCATTTTTATTTTTTTTAGACATTTATTTATTTATTTATGATAGTCAGAGAGAGAGAGAGAGAGAGAGAGAGAGGCAGAGACATAGGCAGAGGGAGAAGCAGGCTCCATGCACCGGGAGCCTGATGTGGGATTCGATCCTGGGTCTCCAGGATCGCGCCCTGGGCCAAAGGCAGGCGCCAAACCGCTGCGCCACCCAGGGATCCCCAGCCCACTTTTTTAAGTTAGATATACATGACGAATACATGTATCTGTAAAGAAAGATGTAGTATTGGGTCTTTATATTGCAATTTGCATAAATATTGTACTTTATGCATCCTGCTTTTTCCACTCAACACTGTAGATGTTTTTCATTTAACATCATATATATTGTGACTCCACTTAATATTATACATTGATAATTAGATCATCACTTTTAACTTTAAGAAAAGTATTCCACTGTATGAATATACCACATTATGTTTCTCTATTTCCCTCCTATTGGGGATTCAGGTTGTTTTTCTCTATTATAAACAAGGCTGCATGAGACATCTTGAGCATAAGGATGGGAGTGTCCCTGTGGGTCTGGGCCTAAAGAATTGATTGCTGGTGATACAGTATCTCTTCCCCTTGAGCCCTCAGCCACACCTGTTTCAAACCCTCATCTTTTGCTTGGACAGCCAAGCCATCCCCTGAACAGATCACCTTACCTACCATCTGGTCCCCTCTGATTACTCGCCACATGGTGACCAAAGAGACCCTCTGGAACTCAAACCTCCCCGCCTCACCCTGTAGGCTAAATGCAAACCCCTCCCCTCTGAATGCACACAAGGCTGGTCAGGAACTGCCTGGTTTCTTTCCTGCATTAAAAGTCACACTGAGGGACGCCAGGGTGTCTCAGTGGTTGAGCACCTGCCTTTGGCTCAGGTCATGATCCTGGGATTCTAGGATCCAGTCCCGCATCAGGCTTCCTGCAGAGAGCCTGCTTCTCCCTCTGCCTATGTCTCTGCCTCTCTGTGTCTCTCATGAATAAATAAAATCTTTAAAAAAATAAAATAAAACAAAATAAAATAAAAGATAAACTGGACAGCATGCTCTGTCCCTGGGCTTTGCTTACAGTCCCCTCTACCTGGCCCTTCCTGCCTACCTCCTGTCTCCTGGCCTTCCCTCAACACCCTCCCCCAGTTTCCTGCCATATCCCTCCCTTAGATCCCGAGATCTAGGTCAGTGACCACCTTTGTCAATCCTCCTTCCATACCAGGGGTTGTTGTTTTGATCCCTTTTCAACCACCAGCACCTGGCTGAGAGTTTGGTGTTACCTGTCTGCTCTTAACCTTCCAATCTAACAAGCTCATTTGGAAGGAATAAAACCATGATAATATATATGGGTTCGGTTTCAACTGCTGTCTTAGGGAAGCGAAGTCTTTACATTTCAGAATAAAACGTGAAATTTCGGGGATCCCTGGGTGGCGCGGCAGTTTGGCGCCTGCCTTTGGCCCAGGGCGCGATCCTGGAGACCCAGGATCGAATCCCACGTCGGGCTCCCGGTGCATGGAGCCTGCTTCTCCCTCTGCCTATGTCTCTGCCTTGTCTCTGCCTCTCTCTCTCTCTGTATGACTATCATAAATAAATAATTTAAAAAAAATTTAAAAAAAAGTGAAATTTCTTATCTCTGAAAACAAGGAAATACTTACAACTGAAATGACCAAATTTGTAGGATCCAACAATTCTGTCCACTGAAGAAATCTCTGAATAAAAGACTTAAGAGAAAAAAAAAAAAAAAACTTATGAGGGAGAAGAACACCAGGTTAATGGTGGCAGGAAAAAAAAAAAAAGAGATATATGGTAATAATAACAGCATTATTTTTGAGACCCGAACAGGGTTTTCTAACTGAAACACCTCCTGGAATCCTCACAACATCCCCATCTCACAGGTGAGGAAAGAGGTGTAGAAGAGCTCACGGAAACCCAGCCAGGATAAGACTCAGCAGCATATGCTCTTAACTACTCCAATATCAAATTACTCTTGAGGGTTAAAAGCCAAGACTTTGGGGCCAGATGGGCCTAGTCCACATCCCACAAATGACCTTGAACCTAATACCACGGAGGGTCTCAGAATTTCTTTACCCTCTTGCCATTGTTATAAGGCTTAACTTTCGTCATAAAGAACCAGACACCTCCAGCAAGGCCTCAGTGGAGGCAGCTTGGTTCCCACATGGAGGAAGCATGGCTTGCTCCCAACGCGCCCTCCTCAGCTTTGCACCAGTTTTGGTTTTGGTGCAAAGTTGAGGAGCCATGAGCTCCCTCTGCCTTTCAACTTCCTCACTTAAGAAAACAGGTTTGGGCCCTACTTTCGGTAAGGCTGAGAGAGAACCCTCTAGGATCACACTGTGCAGTTAACCGCACGTGGCTGTGGAGCCCTTGGAACGCAGCCAGGCCAAACCGTATGTGTAAAATATACACCAGATTGCAAAGAACTTCCTAGAAAAAAAAAAGCGCGTAAATATCTCATTAATAAATGATTATATGTTGAAATGTTAGTGTCTTATATTTGTTGGGCTAGATACAGTATGCCATTAAAATTAATTTCAGCTCTTTCTTTTTTACCCCCTTGAACGCGGCCACCAGAACATCTTTAAAGGGCCGACAGGCTCCCGTGGCGCCTCCACCGGCAGCGCCGCCCAGGCACGCCCCGAGGCGGCCCGCAGCCCCGCGTCCCCGCGTCCCGCGTCCCCAGCGGCCGAGCCCGCCGAGGTTGGAGGCCGGGCGCTCCGGGGGCACCTGGTCCGCCCCAACCTGACGCCCAGCAGCAGCCACGGCGGCAGAGGCAGGCACCTGAGGGGAGGGGTGACTCCTCAGGGCGCCGTGACCTTGCGGCGACCCTCGCGGGCCAGGCCTGGGGCAGGGGTGACAGGCGGGCCCCGCCGCGGCCGTGGGCACCCCGCACCCTGGGTCTCCCCGGCGTCCCCGCCCGGGACCCGAGCTGGGGAGGCGGGTGGCGCGACCACGTGGCCTGCCCAAGGTCACCCGGGCCGGCGGGCGGGCGCACGCGGCGCCCGCACGGGGCCCAGGGCCACCCCGCCCCCAGCCGCGCCGGCCCGGGCCCTACTTGACGCTCGGCGATCCGGAAGCGCACGTTGGGCTCCATGGGGGCGCCGCCGCCCGGCCCCCGCCTCCCCGCCTCCCCGCCTCCGGCTCGGCTTCCCGGGCCCCGCGTCGAGGCTGCAGAGGCAGCGGCCGCCGGGCCCGCGCGGAGGAGGAGCAGCCGGCAGCGTGCCCCGCCCCGGGCGCGCGCGCGTCCCCGGTTCCTGCCGCCCGGTCCCGGCGCGCCCGCGGCTCCGCGGCTCCGCGTGGCCTGGGGGGGGGGGGCGGGGGCGCGCCCGGTGTTCCCGCTGCCTGCTGTCCCCGCGTGCCACCCCCACGCACCGAGCCTTCCCAACCTCACCTACCGGGTAGGGTGGCTGCGCCGCTTCCAGGCCCTTCCAGGCCCTTCCAGGCCCTTCCAGGCCGGGGCGGTCGCCCGTGCGAACCCCCGCATCACAGCCCCACTGAGAAGAACCTGCGTCTTACCGGGAGGACAGGTGCACCAGCCTCTTGGGACATCACCGTGGAAAATCTTCAGTTGCCCTTAAAGTCTAGTGTGCAGGGCACCGGGGAGAGTCGGACTGGTCACTTAAACTTCACAGTGAAATCTGAAACTGTAGCGCCCCTTATTTTAAAAAGGTTGAGAATTGTATTTTAAAGATTTTATTTATTTATTCGAGAAACAGAGAGAGGCAGAGACACAGGCAGAGGGAGAAGCAAGCTCCATGCTCAAGCCCTGGGGCCAAGGCAGCACTAGACCGCTGAGCCACCCGGGGTTGCCCAAGGTTGAGAAGTTTAAAGTCAACATCAGAGCATTAAACCAGGCCCAGCGCCCTTCTAAGTGTGGGGCCCTTCTCCAGCCCGTGAAGGGGGCATCAGGTACAGTGCAAACTGCAGTGGGGCAGATCCAGTTCCTTCTTTGAATGCCAGATGGAGTAGGGGCTGGTTGTAGAGAAAAACTGCACCTCCCTCCTCCTGCTGCTGCCTCCCCTAGCCCCCGCCCTGCACTAGTGTAGGTGGGGGTTATGTGTTTCTTGAATGTATGTTCCTGGATGTTTTTTGTTGTTGTTCCTGGATGTTTAAGTTCAGGGATCCTGGTGTGAGTCTTGGGTTGAGGACCCAGCACCACCAATTACTTAGTTGGATGGCCCTGGTCAAGTCAATATAAATGGGTCTATGTACTCATTTGTAAAATGAGAACAATAATTGTATCTACTTGAGGTTTTGTTGAGGATCAAATGAGGTAAAACATGTGAAAAGCCTAATACGACATGGGGTCCACTGGAAATGCTGTTTGGGCCTCTCACGTGGCCCACACGTGCGGGCCTATTCCATCCCTTGCCTTACCTTCCCCTCCAGGGACACAAAACCAGCTCCTGGTTTTCTTCAGGCCGACGTAACTTTGCAACTTCTTTTGCTCAGTCCACCCGGCTCACTCCTCTATAGCCTCAAGAGTTCACCTCTCCTTCCAGGAAATTCTTCCCTGGGTAGGGTGTCCCTCCTCAGTATTCCCCTTATGCCCCAGGAATGTATCCATTGTGCCATGGTATTTAGCACATCTGTATCATTCTGCTGGCTCTGCCCTCAAGTATATCACAAATCCAGCTAGCTTCTCTTCTCAGGACCGTTACGGTCTACTCTTAACAAAGGAGCCACAGTGATCCTCCTAGAACAAGTTGATGGGAGTCTCGTCAACACCTTCCTTACACTTCCCATCTTAAAAGAGAATCCAAAGTCCTTAGCTTGTTCAAATGGCACTCTGGCCTCCCTGTTACCAATCTTCTCCTTCACCACTGCACCACTCTACGCCTGCTCTTGCCTCAGGGTCTTTGCAGTTGCCAAACCCTATGCCTAACATTTTCTTACCCTCCTAACTCCCTTACTTTCTACATGTTTCATCTCACTTGATCCTCCTCAAAACCCTAAGTTAGGACAATTATTGCTTTCTTTTTACAGATGAGAAAACAGACCTGGATATTGACTCTATTAAGGCCTAACAACCCTATCCCGAACATCTCAATTCTCTGCTCTGGCCCCCTGCTCCAGTTATTTCCCTTCCAGACATTCTATGTATTTTTATTATATTTATTGAGTTTCCCCCTCAAGAACGTAACTCCATTGTTCACCCTTGGGCCTGCAAAATAGCACCTGGCATATGAGAGGCACTCAGGATTTCCTGAAATAACAAATACTTCAAAAAAAAAAAAAAAAAAAACAAATAAATACTTCCATATCTCTCTTGCCTGAACCTGAGTTTTTCAGGTGTAGAGCTAGTATCTTACTCATCTTTGTGGGCCCTGCATTAAATGCTCCACACTTGTTGGTTGATATAATCAAAAGGAAAACTAGAGTAGAGTTCTGTAATATAAGCTGAACCAACAATTAATGGTATTGAACAAACAAATATTTTAAAATATGTTTATTATGTACTTTACATTGAGCACTTCAGAAAAGAAAATAATTACAATGATTTCAGAATGCAATTCCTGGATTCAATAAATGTCCTCTATAATTATATCCAATCAATATCTAGAGTTATATGTAGACCCTATGTCAGCTAACAAGTAAAATAACTATATTAATCTCAGGGATGAGAGACACACATGATCACTTAAGTCACTCTGCCACCGTGTTTTTTTTAAAAACATGATTCACATTTGTTTCAAGTACATATACAGCCATTGCAAGAGTTAACATCAGTGGTCTGATGTTAACACCTTAAAACTATGTATGATCTTTGCTGCCTTAAAAGAAAATTTAGTTTATCGCAAAGAAATTCAACAAAGTTTCAGGACCTATGATCACAAGCTACAACAGAGTAGCTTGTTGTACTACTCTGGTGAACATAAAGGTTCAAGTAAGGCCAACAAAGAAGAATGTTTCCTCTTTCCAATGAAGACATAATGCAAGGACTAGGTGAACTAGCATCCTACAAACTAGCTAGCCATCAAGAGGTTACCAATTAAAGGATGTGAGTACATTTAAAAGCCTTGGCCAGTGTTACAAAAACAAACATTTAGATTATTTACGAATATAAGCATAATTGGTGTTTTATCTTCTATAAATAATCATTTTTTGAAATGCTAAAGGTGAGTTCCAACTGCGCTCTTTCCTCATGTGAGAAGAGGTGGGGACACACGGGATGACCTACTGATTTACCTTCTCAAAGTATTCTTTGGAAGCAGTTGGATGTGGCTTGATCTGAAAATACAAAAACATTTAATTAGGTGGCTGACTTTATGATAAAAGCTTCAAAAGTGAATGGAAAACTCTGTTTTTAACCCAAAGTTCTTTAATTTTTTAAAGCATGGTCTGTTTCCTTTAAAATACATGGATGAAAGTTACATCAGCAGCCTGCCTAATCCTTGGTCCCAACCAAACCCCCACCCCTCAGCAGCCTCACCCATTTGCACACTATCTGCACCCTTGCTCCAAGGGTAGGCTCCTTTTGTAGGTACTCTAGGCCAGCAGCCCTGAGGGCAGTGATGACCTGGGACCCTCTGCTGAGGTCTCACTGCTTTTGGAAAAGAAACCTACTGTAGGAGAATCCGGGGTCCAGTTTGCTGGGCAGACTTCTCCATGGGTTTCCACAAACTGGAATGCCTTCACCAAGCGGAGGGTCTCTTCCACACTTCGGCCCACAGGGAGATCATTGACACTCAAATGCTTGATGACTCCATTGGGGTCAATGATGAAGAGACCTCTGCATTAGGATTTAGCCCCATTAGTACCTCAGCAGCACAACAACTACGAAGTCTATCTTCTACCTGCTTCTGTCTTTAATTCTCCTCAATAAAGCTTTAAACTTGAGCATATGCTTAAATATGGGGTTTTCACTGTTACACAAAAAGCTTATCACCTCTTACTATTACACAAAAAACTTATCATCATCTTACTGATGATGTGCCACACAAAGGTGTGAGTGGACCAGGCCAACATGGAAAAGAGCAGGACTTCACACAGAGAAGAGTCACAGAGAACAGACTTCTTTAACATATAAGTGATCTAGGTGTTCTTTGGGCTGCTGTATCAGATCTTGACAAGAAACCAGAGACATATGGGAGGAGACAGATGATTTTATCTATATTCAGTAAATACTGACGAAATGAGTGAATTCTTGGGTAAATGGGGGAAAATCCCTGGGGAAATCTTAGCAGAAAGAATTTACTGGCCTTAAGTCTAGGCAGAGCAGAAATCTAAAGGAAAACTCAAGACCTTTACTCTTTATCACTTGGCAGCAATGTAACGAGATGACCTGCCCTGTGGTCTGTGTTCATCTTCTGTACAAGTGCTGGGGTTACCATGACATATGCAGATATGCAGATATGTTTAAACCACAGGTTTTAACAGTCTCTCTTAAAGGGGTGTGGCATTCCAAGTGTTAATCATGCAGGGAAATAGCAAGCAAGAGAAAAGGCAAGGTGAAAAGGTACTTCTTTCTCCCTGGGCCTGACTCTTGGAGGTCTAGGCTTTGAGGCTCAAAGGGTTCTGCCCCAAGCTCCTCAATCAAGAGTGGAGCCACGCTGGAATGCATGGTATAGATGTAGATGCAGGGCTAGGATGGAGCAGGGCCCACACTCCAGAAAGCAAGCCTTATCTTACAAACCAGACTCAAGCCACCCTACACTCCCTTGTCAATCCTAATAGCAAGGGAAATAATGGCAAAATTAGCAAGACCCTACAGGGAAGGGGATCCTTGGAGGACAAAGCAAGCACTCCTTCTTCCCTTGCCAACTTTGTCAAGGCTTGTCAAAGCCAGGCCTTAGTTTATTAAATGAAGACAATCCCCCTGGAGTAAAAGAGGCTGAAGCTCCAACGTGGTATAACTCAAGAGGAAAGCAGGGCTCCATAAATTCTCTAAGAAGTGGGATGGTGCTTAGCATGAAATAGTTTAAGTTCATAAAAGAATCAAGATCTTACCTTAGAGCAATACCGGGGCCTTCTAACAGCACGCCATAGTCTCGAGAAATCTGTTTAGTCAGATCTGACAGGAGTGCGATGTTCATGTGGCCCAAACCGCCATTCTAACAAAAATGCGAACATGACTGGCTGTTACACAGTGCACTCGTTCTCACTGTTCTCAGCCACGTAATGTGATGTCTGAGGCCAACAAGAAAGGCGACAGGCAGCAGCAATGGAGAACCAAGAGCGGGCTGAGCACTGCTCTTAGCAATTTTCTGTGAACTCACTCCCTCCCCTATAACCACCCTGGAGCAGACACTACTATCATTGCCTTTTTACACATGAGGAAACTGAGGGACACAAAGGTTAAGCAACTTGTTCCAGGGCACAAAACAGGACAGAAGCAGGATTTAAACCCAGAGACCTTTCTTTTTCTAATTGTTTTTTTTTTTTTAATTTTTATTTATTTATTTATGATAGTCACAGAGAGAGAGAGAGGCAGAGACACAGGCAGAGGGAGAAGCAGGCTCCATGCACCGGGAGCCCGATGTGGGATTCGATCCCGAGTCTCCAGGATCGCGCCCTGGGCCAAAGGCAGGCGCCAAACCGCTGTGCCACCCAGGGATCCCTCTTTTTCTAATTCTTGATGCATTCTTTTACTTGAAGGTTAGTTTCTATAGCAAAAAAAATGGAAGAGTAATAAAAAGACTGAATAAGGGCACCTGAGTGGCTCAGTTGGTTAAGCATCTGCCTTCAACTCAGGTCATGATCTCAGGGGTCCTGGAACGGAGCCCCACATTGGGCTCCCCGGACAGCGGGGAGTCTGCTTCTCCCTCTCCCTTTGTGCTCTCTTGCCTTTCTCAAATAAATAAATATTTAAAAAAAATAAATAAAAGACTGAATAATTTGGTATTGATAGTTCAGCAAAATGGCTAGAAATTTTGATTCCTCCAAGCATTTTTTAGACAAGAAAAGTTATCACGCAGAAGAGTGAAATCAGAGAACCTAACCACCACCCCACAAGCCACACGGAGTATGTGGGACCTACAAGGTACCCTTGAGAGAGGAGGCAGTGAACCCCAGCTGGGCACCCCTCACAACCCTGTGCCCCAACCCTTTGTACCTTGGAACACACACATGTAGTGGACAGTAAATTTAGGCAATGCTAGGCAAGATATTGAGAGAGTTTCATAGAACTTGCCAGAAGCTTCAAGCCCACAAATAGCCCATTTCAGACTAGTTCATGCTTTAACAACTTCTAGGTTAGTCTTTCATGGGATCTTTTCAGTTTAGAGGATCCTAAGTGCAAAGGCAGGGCCACTGCACTTTATACCTTCCGCGGTGTGTTGATCCAGGCGAGATGGGTGAAATGGGAATCCACTGACACTGCAACAACATCACAGTTCACGTCGTGAAATTCTTTGGCTTTGTCACTGAAAGCAACAATTTCTGTAGGACACACAAAGGTGCTAGAAAAAAAGGGCAGAAATTCCCATCAGAGAATTTAAAAACAAGGATTTAAAATTTAAACACAGGTAATCTAAAAAATAGTTCAACTTGCTTAAAGGTGAAAAAGGCAAAAACAATTAACCACCCTCACTGTACTCACCTCTCTTAAGAATCATATAAAAAAATGGGGTCAGGCAGGGGAAAAGAGGCATATTCTAAGAATAAAGAAACAATTAAATAAAGTAGCTTTGTGAGAAAACCCATTTTATTATCTTTACCTTTCTCCTTTCCCTCTAGACCAGGGAAAACTTCCTTACAGTCTGGCTTACAGGAACCACCATTCGGGAGCACATAGAACAGAGCCGTATTAAAACCCTACCCCACTAACAAGAATGCCATCCCATCCTCTAAATTTATGAGATTAGCTGCAGATGCAAGCTGTACTCAGCAAGGCCACTAGTGATAAAAGGACCCAAAAGAACCCTTCCTTGACCAGGAGAGCAACCAGAGATAGGAAATGTCAGGGACCTTTGCTTGCTCTCAGAATGACATTATAGCACCACAGAAATCACACTTACAAGTCCAACGGATAGAAGAAAAGCACCAAATATCTCCCCTTAAAGTCATCGAGGGTTAGGTCTTTAAACTCTCCGTTGACAACGGCAGTGCCCTTAAAGTAGGGCGCATGCTGGGTGACAGCAGGAGCGTGGTAGGAGGAACCTGAAGGAAGCCCACACATACACGTAGTTCATCATCTGCTAAATCACACACTTATTTGACTTTATTCAACTCTCTCATGGTAATTAATTAGTAGTATAAATCAATTAACTCTATATCTTAGGTAATTTGTCCCCCCTTCTGTATCTTAGTTCAACGCTATATCTTAGGTAATTTGTCCCCCCTTCTGTAGTTCTAGATCGTACCCAAATTCAATTCAAAAATACTATGGGGACTGAAAAGACTAAAAAGATGATGTCAGAAAATGATGGGGATGGAATTAAGATAGAACTGAGGAGGACAGGAGCCTAGGGATAGATTCTAAATATGGTTCAGCTGTTGCCATACCCAGGAGGGACAGGGAAGAGGGAATAGGGCATGTGTGGGAAACAGCCCATGGCAGTCTGATTAGAACACAGAGAGCAGGTGTGTTTGGAAGGAAGCGTAGGAGACAAAGCAAGAAAGGTTGAAGGCCACATTCTGAGGGCCCTTAAATATCAGGCTAGAGTTTGTTCTTAAAAGAGTCCTCACTGGAGATTTCCATGTAGGACATAGAAGATAAATCAGCTGTTTTTAGGAAGCTAAGTCTGGCTGGGGAGGGTAAGGAGAGCAGGAGGGAGACTGTATTAGAAGGGATTTCAGTGATCTTAATAAGACGTATGGATGGGAGCGGTGTGCCTGAGGAGGACAGGAGGGAAGGAAAGGATGCAAGAGATGTATTAGAACTGGAGGGGACTCGCTTCCACCTGGGAACTTGGGACAAAATATCAAAATGTCTGGTCTTCATAAACAGTGGGAGCTGCTGGTGTGGGGTTTGGGACAGAGAACAAGGAAAATTTTAAATGTGGGTCATCAAATCACTACTAGAAATTTTTTTTAAAGCTCCAGGGTTGTGGAACTGTGAAACTTTTCAGAACATTTCACCCACAAACGAAGGCTTTGCTAAAGTGGTTCAGTAGGTTAAGCATCTGCCTTCGGCTCAGGTCATGGTCCCAGAGTCCTGGAACTGAGTCCCACATAGGGCTCCCTACTCAGTGGGGAGTCTGCTTCTCCCTCTCTGCCTGCAGCTCCCCCTACTTGTGTTCTCTTTCTGTCAAATAACTAAATCTTAAAAAAAAAAGGGGGGGGGTGGATGGGACAAATCTAAAGGAGGTATTTTCAAGTACCACTCATTATCTGAGACTGATCTTAGCAAAGCCCACATTCTAGAAAATGCAGTATAAATCTCAAGAAATAGCAGATAATGGAGGAATCCGTGCTATAACATGGCCAGGTCTGAATCTAAAAGCCTTGGTTCTAACAGACTGTCGGCCACTGCGAATTATCTCATGTCCCCTCACACACAGGGCCCAGGAGGCATCTGAGTTCCCCCACTCCCCCAACCTATGCGTTCCTCAACACAGAACATTAAAACCTCTGGTGACCAACAAGGAAATGTGACACAAGAGCAGTGTGCCTCGGTAATTCTCAATCCTGACTGGACATTAGAATTATTCGGTGAACTTTTAGAATATACTAATAAAGGAATTAAAAGATATGAACTTCCAGTTACAGAAAGATGGACGGGGGGTGGGGACGGACAGCACAGTGAACAGTTAATAATACCATAGCAACTTTGTATGGTGACAGATGGCAGCTAGATTTATCATGATCATCACCGCCTAACGTATATAAATCTTGAATCACTATGCTGTACATCTGAAACCAATATTATGTCAACTACATTTTGATTAAAAAAACAAAAAACCAAAATGATGTCCTGGTCTCACCTCAGATACTGACTTAATTTGTCAGGGGTGGGACTGGGGTAGTGGTGTAGTTTCCAAAGCTCCCCAACCGAATCTAATGCATAGCCAGGCTTCAGAGCCCATGTCGCCAGATGATTCATACTGCCTGGGCCAAACCAAGGCATAATACTTACTGGTGCTAAAAGCGAATTTTGCTTGACTAGAACCAGACCACAATACATTTGTCAGGCATGTTGTTCTGGAAGCAGCAGGTCTAAGGGCTGCAGAGGCAGAGATGCCCCATGGAATAGCACTCACATGTCGGGCAATCTGGAAAGAGAAACACTTTATATTAGAAAGTAGCCTGAAGGCTGGCCCGGCTGAAAGAGCACCAGGCCATTGGGCCTCAGCAATCCTTGTTCCTGTGAACTAAATACCAAACCCCGTAACAGTGTAGAATGAATCTCAATGTTCTTTAACATTCCTTTCTGCTTCCTTCTTTTTCAAGACTGCAAGTGGGGGATGGGAAATGCTGGTCAAAGGGTATACAAAGTTGCAGTTATGTAGGATGAATTAGTCTAGAGATCTAATGTAGGGTAATGATGACTATACTTAATACTGTACTGAACACTGGGAATTTGCTAAGATTTTTTTTTTTAATTTACTTATTCATGAGAGACACACAGAGAGAGAGAAGCAGAGGGAGAAGCAGGCGCCATGCAGGGAGCCTGACATGGGACTCGATCCCCGGACTCTAGGATCAGGCCCTAGGCTGAACGCGGGGCTAAACCGCTGAGCCACCCGGGCTGCTTGGAATTTGCTAAGAGAGTAGATTTCAGGCACACATCTCACTCATCAAGCACAAAAAACGGTAATTATGTGAAGAGATGCTGGTCTATAGTAATCATTTCATTATGTATATGTATACAAATCATCTTGTCGCACATCTTAAATATACATAACTTTTATTTAAAAAATATATACATAATTCTTAAAAACCCTGCAAAGCAGAGGGGAATTATAAGACGATAAAGACTCCACGCTCTTAATAAGAACAACACAGAGGATTCAAAAACCCAGGGGACTTGGCCAGGCCCTGCGTATTTTACACCCTTTACCAGCATGACCTGCTAATAAGCATGTTCTATCATGTCAAGGTTTTCCCAGAAAAGACCAAGCCCCCACAGACAAGCAAACAAGTAGAGCAAAGTTCACACTCTGGGAAATTTTGAACAGGCCTCAAGGGGATTATTTTTTTTGCTCAACTATCGAGTCTAGCATGACTCAGGGAAGAAGAGCCTGCAGTTCAACCAAGCCAAGGAGAAGGGGGACGGGGGCTACCAAAAGGGTACGAGGCTTTGCCGGGAGGAGGGGGACAGACCCAGGGGATGGGAGGAATGCTACAGTGCAAAGTGCCTTTTGCACTTTAGCACTCTGTACTTCAGCACTTTGGTTTCCATCCACCATTTGGTAGATACTCGCTGCAACGCCCTGATGTTGGCATCACTCTTTCTACCTTAAGGCGAGGACACTAAACCGAGGTTCCCAAAGGGGAAGTCACGTGTCCAAGGTCATAGAGTAGCTACAGAGCAGGGAACGGGGGCCAGGGCGCCTGCCTCCCGGGCGAGGTGCTCAGGTGCATGGAGGGCTGCGGACCCTCGACTCGGAGCGAGGAGGGACTGGAGGAGGCGACGGGAATGAGGCGGGGGACGGTTCTGCGCAGGCGCACTCCCTACGGCCGAGGCCTCCGGGGCCGTTACCCGCAGGCGCCCTCCAAGAAGGGCGAAAGGCCCCCCCGGCCGCAGGGAGCAGGATCCTATGGGGGAAGCACGTTCTCGGAGCCACTGTTGTGTCTCCGCGCCTGTCCCCCGCCGGCAGCCACTCACCGAAGCCCGGAGGAACCTTCCCACCGCGGCCGCCATCTTCAGTGCGCGCGGGATTCGCGGGACTGGCGGGCACGCGGAGGGGGCGGGGCTTTGTGGGGGCGGGGGTGGGGCCTCCGGCGGGGCGGGGCCTGAGCGGGGGCGGGGCTTGGCCTGAGCGGGGGCGGGGCTGGAGTCCGGGCGGGAAAGATGACTTCCTCACCTTTTGCTTGGACCTTCCTTGGGTCAACTCACCTGTCAAGTGCCTCAGCCCCAATTCCGAAGACAAAATTCTAGGAGAAAATTCCCGTCGCGGCTTCTAAGTAAAGGAATGCTCGGGAAAACAATACCTTACTTCTAAGTGTCGCCCCATCCTAAAAAGGACTAATCCAGGTGGGGAGCTTGGGCTTTATATGGCTAACCTGTGTGGATAACTGTTTCTACCCGTCCTGCAAATGGCCTCGGGTAGAGCCTTCTGGATTCTGCAGGAAACGGAATTAATTTTTTTTTTTAAATTTATGATAGAGAGAGAGAGAGGCAGAGGGAGAAGCAGGCTCCATGCACCGGGAGCCCGATGTGGGACTCGATCCTGGGTCTCCAGGATCGCGCCCTGAGCCAAAGGCAGGCGCCAAACCGCTGCGCCACCCAAGGATCCCTGGAATTAATTTTAATGCAATTTTTGTCCGTTAATGAGCCAAGTGGGCCAGACACATCAAGTTTTTGGGTTCTGAAAACTTTTGGGATGCTGTCTGGACTTCCATTGGCCTCTCTTCCCAAAACTGGAAGAACTGGGATAAATTTAAATTCTATTTTCTGTCAATTAGAAAGCTAAGTGCTCCGTGGTGATCATGGTACTTTGAAGCAAGCTCATCAAACACAGATAAAAATCACACGTTGGCTTTTCGGTAAATGCAGATTCTAAGTAGGTATTTTCCGGATATCAGTCATTCCACTACCAACATAGTTTCTTGAATCTGCATATCATCTGCATATTATTTACTATTTTCTTTAAGTTGACTCAATTTTGAAAAACGTAAATGAATTTATTTGAAAGAATATGTTAAATAACTTAAATGGAAAACCTTATAACTTGCTATGAATAGAAGGTAATTAAAATAAACACATTAAAACAAAATGTTATTAAGTATCAAGTAGGTACAGTTGCCTGCTGAAAATCTGAGACTTTGTTTTTTTTTTGTTTTTTTTTTTTAATTTTTTATTTATTTATGATAGTCACAGAAAGAGAGAGAGAGGGGCAGAGACATAGGCAGAGGGAGAAGCAGGCTCCATGAACCGGGAGCCCGACGTCGGATTCGATCCCGGGTCTCCAGGATCGCGCCCTGGGCCAAAGGCAGGCGCTAAAAAGGGAAACGGAGAAATGGCTAGCAACATCCTGGTATCACATGGGGTTCTCTTTATGTTATACGAAGAATTTAAAGAGCATTAAAAGGGTAATAATTTTCTCACTTTGGGCCTTAATGTTATTTATTTTGCTCCTCACATAAATCCTTGTATGCACCACTAGTACCGCAGTGGATACCAGCCCCATGCCTTGGAATGGACTGCCTTAGAAGCTAGAGATGAGAATCTAAAACGATCTGACCATTTTGGAAAATTCCGTGTCAGTATTTAGGAAACTGAATATATGACTCAAATAATTTCAGTCATAGGCTTATGCCCCAAAAATGTATGTATCAGTTTATCAAAAGACATAGGCTAGAAAGTTCATAGCAACACTATGATAATGGCACAGAGATAAAATACACAAATGCCCATCAAAATCATAGAATGAATGAATAAATTATGAAATTGAGAATGAATGCATGGCAGTGACATGCAACAAGATGGGAGAGTTTCACAGACACGATGTTGAGTGAAAGAAGCCAGACATGAGAAAGTAGACACAATATGGTTCCATTTATATGAAATTCAAGAACAGGAACAACTAATATATAGTGTTTGAAGTCAGAATGGTGTTGACCTTGAGAAAATGGGAATTTGGGAAGAGTAATGAGAAGACAAGAATGGGGAGCAAGTAATATTTTATCTTTTGACCTAGCTTAAAGTTAATAGTTGTATTTACTTTGTGAGTTTTCATGAAGCTGTACACTTATGATTTAGGCAGTTTTAAATGTCATACTCCAATTTTTAAAAAATATTTTATTTATTCATGAGAAACAGAGAGAGGCAGAGGGAGAAGCAGGCTCCCCATGGGGATTCTGATGTGGAACTCGATCCCAGGACTCCAGGATCACACCCTGAGCCAAAGGCAGATGCTAAACCGCTGAGCCACCCAGTCATCCCAATGTCACACTCCAATTAAAAGTTTATATATGGGATCCCTGGGTGGCGCAGCGGTTTGGCGCCTGCCTTTGGCCCAGGGCGCGATCCTGGAGACCCGGGATCGAATCCCACATCGGGCTCCCGGTGCATGGAGCCTGCTTCTCTCTCTGCCTATGTCTCTGCCTCTCTCTCTCTTTCTCTCTCTGTGACTATCATAAATAAATAAAAATTAAAAAAAATAAAAGTATATATATATATATATATATATATATATATATATATATGAAGCAAGGGACTACAAATTTCTCAATCATTTCCCCTTAGTACCTGCCTTGTGTTTAGTGGGTGTTCATAACATGTTTGTGAACAGATGTTTGAAAAGGAAGGGAGATCATAACCCAAGAGCTCAAAATCATACTGTAGTGTGTAATGGAATATTATTCAGCCATAAAAAGGAATGAAGGATTATACATATTGTAATATGTATGAACTGAAAGAAGCATTATGCTGACTAATAGAAACCAAATCCAAAAGGCCAAATGTTGTATGATTCCTTTCATATGAAATATGGAGAATAAGGAAATCCATATAAGGAGAAAGAAAATTGACAATTGCCAAGTGTGGGGAGGAGGAGGCAGGGGCACTGACTGCTTAATGAGTACAGGGTTTTCTTTTCAGGGTAATGAAAATGTTTTGGAACTACAGAGAAGTGGTGATTGCACGTTATGAATGTTCTTTTTTTTTAAATATTTTATTTATTTATTCATAGAAACACAGAGAGAGAATGAGAGGCAGAGATACAGGCAGAGGGAGAAGCAGGCCCCATGCAGGGAGCCTGACATGGGACTCGATCCTGAGTCTCAAGGATCAGGCCCTGGGCCAAAGGCAGCGCTAAACCACCCAGCCACCTGGGCTGCCCTTCTCTAGCACCTCTCTCTCCTATTTTATGCACATGTCCTTTAGTTTCCACACATAGGCAGTTTGGTTCATAACTACACTTAACTGCGATATAAATCACAGTGCAAACAAAACAACAGAACCAAGTGGAGTTCCCTCTCTTGGTTTTATTTTTTTATTTTATTTTATTTTTTATTTTTATTTTTTCCTCTTTTGGTTTTAGTTTTAAAATTTAGAAACTTGGGGCAGCCCAGGTGGCTCAGTGGTTTAGCACCGCCTTCGGCCCAGAGCCTGATCCTGGAGACTCGGGATCGAGTCCCACATCGGGCTCCCTGCATGGAGTCAGCTTCTCCCTCTGCCTGTGTCTTTGCCTCTCTCTCTCTGTGTGTGTCTCCCATGAATAAATAAAATTAAAATAATAATAATTTAAAAAATAAATAAAATTTAGAAACTTTAGTTAGTACTATTTCTTTGGATGGGACCTGCTTAGGCATAAAGGTGACACTACCTTCCATTTTGTCCATCCTCCTGATGCTGCCATTCAACCTAGAGTGTAGTTTCTGCATCCTCTATGCCCCAAGATCATTTTAGCCTTTGGAATAATGCATTTTCTTTCCTATTTAGGTTCCAGGTAGAGCCTTCTGTATTGGATGAATTTGTGTTAATTAGCAATGTGATTTTAATCAGTGAATAAGTATATATTAAGTATATATAAGTATGTACTGAGTGGATTATACAGGCCCTGCTGCCAAGGAACTCCATGGGCATCCAGGAAACATTGAGTAAAGATTGTAAAAAACCCAAATCCAAGATCCATAATTTTAAGGGGCCTAAATGAGGCATAATGATTGAGAGTGAACAGCTGAGGTTCAAAAACCAGCTTCCTTGGGCAAGTTACTCCCTACCTGTTCTTTCATCTGTGAAATGGGAATGATATTAATACCTCCCCTAAGGGTCCTTGTGAGCAATAAGTGAGTTAAATTTTAAAGCGTTTAACACAGTCAACAGGTACATAGTGAGTACTGTGTTTGTTATATTAAATGAAACAGTCCAGGAAAAGAGCTATGAGAGTTTAGAGAAAGAACTCAAGAAGGGTCTCATAGAGGAAAAAGTGTTGTCAGAATAGATGGATTCCGTCCTCGAGGGAGGAATAGGGGAAGATGAAGGGAAAGATGGCAGATAGTATTTGGTGACCTTTGTCCCTTTGACTTGTTATCATTGTCAGCCAACATTTATTGAGAACTTAAGGGGCCAACATCTGAGCTGAATAGAGTAACTTATATGATCTTTACATGACCCTATGAGATAGGTTTTGTTTTTAATTCACCATCCCCATTTCATAGGTGGGGATACTGAGGCTTAGGGAGGTTTAGTACTTTGCCTAAATTCTCACAACTGAAAAGGGCAGGAACCAGATTTAAATTCCAAAAGCTGCCTGCAGAACCCCTTCCTAACACAATGTTGTCTCACCTCTGGCATATTTGTCGGAGTGTAAAGTGCTTGATGGTGCTCAGTAGGAGATACTTATTAAAAAGGTAGTCTGTGTCAGAGCATGGGAGTATTGGCCATTTATCCTTCAGTGAAATGTCCCCAAATACTCTGCTCCTGAGCCTGCCAGGGATGTTCTCCTTTTTGTGTTCTGTACTCTCTGTTCTTTTGTCTGAGCAATTCTGGTTGATTCTGCCCATGCAATTGACGCTTGCCACCATGGGGACCTGCCACTCTATTCTCAGCCTTTTTCTTCTTTGCTAGGTTCTTTCTGTTCCTGTGTTCTTGCAGAGATTGTGAGAGAAAGGCATCCACTTATATGTGACAACCAAAAATGTCTCCAGACATTGCCAAATATCCCCCAGGGGACAAAATCATCCCCATTTGAAAAACCACTGCTCAAATAGTTAATGGAACAGGCTCTTA